AACTTTCGCGTTTATAATAATAATATGAGATTGTCAGCTAATATCAGTAAGTAATTGAAATAACAATAAAACTTGAATATTAATAGAATAGAAAAATAGTTATTGAAATAAAATTCAATTTAATGATTTTTGAATAGTCATACTTATTTTTTAATCTACCGCTCATTGCGAAAGCTGTCTCATTACTATTCAGTACAATAAAGTTATACCTCAATTAAGTAATACAACAACTACATAATACATAAATTACTAACACTGCCCGCGGTTCTACCCGCCTAGAATATACAGCCTATATTCAACCTGAAAGTTCATTACATTCTAAACATTTGTAAACAAATTTGTGAAATTAGATGAATAGTTTACAAGTCTTTTTATTTCTTAACTGACAATTTTCTTTTTTAAATATTTTATTTCTTATACCTTGGGCCAGGCCTTGGATATGCTTTCGACAAAAGGAAGTCGAAAAACGCAGCGACGTATTTGCATAACAGGTGTTTTTAGGGTTCAGTAGTCAAATCCCAACGAAACTTTTATCATTTCTTCTGACAGTCTACACACATACTGTTACGGTATAATAAATTAATTTGCTACTGGATCAATCCGCTTTGAACGTTACAGAAAGATCTAGATCTCCATATAGAACCTAATGTTGTTTTTAAACAACAGTAAGTTTACAACCTTCCCAAACAATAAGTTAAGATTTACAGATGCAATTTCAATCCGATTTTAAAATCTGATCTTAATTAATCGGCTGTAGTCGAAGAGGATTTTATGTAATCTATTTCTACGTAAGTATATGTTTTTTTTATTAGCGATTTCTATGTTGATTATCATGCGATAGATAGATAGTCGGAGGAGAAGAGTCAGCTGGCCTCTTACTTGTTTTGTACTGTAATTATTTATATAAAAAAACATCTAATAAAAAGAGCAACACACAAGTTTCTTGCTCATTCTTCTAGTGATGAATCTGCATTCCGAATGAGTGGTAGAATCAAAATATGACTATTAAAAAAAAGTTCTTGTAATGAGTTTATTTGAATAAAGATTATTTCTATTTCTATTATTTTTGTTTAATAATATATGGTAAGTTTTTAATAGTTTTTTAATATGTATTTAAATGACTTCGACCCGTGATCAGGACATTTATATCAGCATTATGTTTATGGATCTCTTAATATTGTTATCCTAAATATCCAGTTGATGTAATGCATACTATTTAAATGGAGATATTAAATTAGGTATGGAACCCTATTAAATGCGTTTCGGAAACACCATTACCGAGTTTCTTTTTATTTTCACATAACTGGCTGGCCTTAGTTTAATTTAAACCTTTTTCGATTATCAACTAAAAGCCCTTGAGATAATATTAATTTGTATTATATCCGTATAGTTTATACTGTTGCAGTATACAGGGTTGTATGTTAATCTTTATCTTTACATAGTTATTATAAAATGAAGTCGCTTCCGTTGTCTGTTCACTTAGATCTTTTAAACGAACCAACAGATTTTATTACAGTTTTGAGCAATTGATAGAGTGATTCAAGAGAAATGTTTATATGTATAATACATATATACTCGTACGCTGTAATGAGAGTAGTTAGTTAAATAAATAAACGTAAAAAATATATTCTCTGAATGACTATAGATTATTATCCACTAACAGTTAAGATAACAGGGCTGTATCAGTGGTCCAGTAAAGTAATGCTGAAATATATTTATAACAGATGGCCAGTATGTTGGTTCCCCGGTAGAGATGGATGTCAAGTTATTTTTTTCTAAGAATAATATTAACTATATATTCGATGCATTTTATATATTTATAACACGTGTATAAGAATAATATTAACTATGATGAATTTTATAAAGAGGTAAATGTGTCATATTGTTTATTCGTGGTAATCTCCGGTACTGTTTAACCAATTTTGAAAATTCTTTCAGTGTTGGATAGTGCATTTATCACGGAAAGTTATAGGCTATAGAACATAACGCTACGAATAATAGGAGCAGAGCTGCAATGAAAAATGTTCTTAAAAGCGGGTAAAATGTGTCGCAGACGAAGTTACGCGGGTCAGCTAGTAAGTAATAAATAAAATAAGAACAGCGTGGCTTAATCGTTACTCACCTTAAGCTTAAGCTGATTAACCATAAGTTGATTCCAAATCGACATTAAAAAACTTTCTGTCATAAAATATTTTTAACTCTCCACTGATGGAATTACTGATAAAAAACCAAATTAATCGTAGACGATGTTCCCTGCCATATTGGAGAAACAAATAGACTACTATTAAATTTTGATTTGCCTATCAATGGCGTTACGCTATATGATGATTCATAATAAACGGTTAACACTTTCGGCCGGTGGAAAAGCTTGTTTGCCATCACAGCTACAATAAGAATACCTTTTTTTATACTATGAAACAAACATACGATCCAACTAATGTATGGATCTATACCATCTACGATGTTAAACCTAAAATAACCATCGGGAGAAGGTGAGGCGAGGTGGCTTTACTCACTATAAGAGAATTGAACCGGAAGAAACCAGTAGGTCTATTACTACATTTCTATAGTTTCAGTATAATTAAAATCATTAAAATAATATGTAAAAATCAGTACAGTTACTACAGCTTTAACCGTGAAATAATACTATATAATCATTGCCGTATATGTATATCTGTATGGCAACGATCACATAGTGTACACAGGGAATTTGTTTTCAATTGAATAATTCCTATGGCCTCGTGTTAAAAACGTTATCAAACAGTGACAATTTATTGTGAATCAGGCACATCCTGAGTCGACACCCACATACCAATCATTTAGGTAATTTCTATCTACGTTTGTAGGTGATCAAATATGCGAAATAGTAACTACAGACATCCCCAAAACAAATAATATTTGTTTATCCGCTGCAGTATTCGTTAGGGCGCGTGACATAACAATAAGCACCCAGTATTTGATAGCAGGAATGCACTAAGGCTTAGGTAACATAGGTGGAGGAATTTTTGAGACTAGCAAATGCAAAGTATGCGTCATGACTGAAAAATATTCCCGGAATTACAATGTTGCCTAAGGCCCACTTTACAATTTTTTATCCAATAGTACTGATATTGGTTCCATCCATGTTTGTGAGAAGAAATAAATAAACTATTATTATATTTTTATTGTTGTTTTTTTCGCGCTACTCTAATACTGTTGGCTGCAGCTAGCTTTTACATTTTCAATGAATGATGGGGGCCAATGTAGATGCCACTCTAGACCCGCTAGGACTTATGGCGCTGCCTGTTTATCTCTATGTTTTAATTATTTCTCGTTTTTCTTCACTGTTTTGTGTAATATAAAGAATTATCATGCATTCTTTATGTTAAAACTAACAAATGAAATAATAAATGCTAGCTAATGATAATTAGATGCCTACCTAAACTGTTTGTTATACAAATCCAGCAATAAACTCATTTAATGATATTTGTGATAACAATGTCAGTGCATTGATATTAGTTAGCTCTTATCAGACGCAAATAGGCACTGGCAGTGGCATTAGTACTGTTTCCTATTACTTATTCAAATATAATATAATTCTGAAGTTTTCCACTTGTTATTTATAGAAAATTAATCCTCATATCACATGATATAAGCAGTGACCAACATGGAGAAGCAACACATTACAGAGGAACATAGACCCTTTTTGAGAAGGCCTATGTCTTAGAATAAGCCGACAAACTGTGGCATTGAAATAGCAATAAACAACAACAAAATTAACTTCAAATCAAATCAAAAAGAAGTTATTCATGTACTTAGGACATTTTAGCCAAATGTAATTTTTTTTATATTAATATTTTTTCAATACCATTCCTACACTTGTTCCCTTCACTATCAGTATATATAAATAAAATCATCTTATTAGAATCTAAAAATTGATTATTCATGTGGGGGTGTTCTGTAAATAATGAAATAACCCCCCAGATTATGCACACAACGGCCCAGATGAGAGGCCAATTGCTTACAACTTACCCCCCGATTTGGGTAATAAAGATGGGATTAGGATATGGAGAAGAATCACACCGCAAGTTATATTTATATTTACCATCCTCATTTTAGCCACTTATGCTAATAATTTTTTAATCCAATTGTACAGTTGACATGATAGTTTTTAGGTGAAAATCTGTGCCAAGAATATAACTGTTTTTTTTTTAAATCATACTGTTGATATTACTATTTAGATACTTGCATATACACTCATACACATTCTTTGTTTATGAAAATGCCATATGAATAACTAAACCAGTGCCAATATTACTGTATGATGTGTCACATAGTATTTTAAATTTCCTCATATGAATGTTCAAGCTCTCAATGAAAATGTAATATATAATAATACCAGTTTCCAGGTTATAATAATACCAGGTTCCAGTACCAGTCCCTTTGTGCTTCCTTTTGGTACCATACCATAAATGGGATGATGAGTAAAAAATCTGAAAGCTAGTAGGTACCAACATTCTATATTTATTGCAAATAAAAATTATTATAATATTAGAAGTATTATTAGCAATCCTAATGGTAACTCATATAATTATACATTCAAACAGTACAACATTGTAGTTAATTTTAAATGTAAGGAATTATGAAATGGAATCCATGCAACTGTGTTTAATAACAACTGTTGACACTTATAAAAAATATATTAATAAGATTAGCAAAAAATTATTTTAATACAAACAATACAATTATAGTATTTTTAATAAGATAACTAAAAGAATAAAGAATATATATAACACATATGAACTTAACTAATTATATGAAATTACTGATAAGATAATTGATCCATAAAAACACATGCTTAGGAGGAGATAACATCACAGCTGAACAATAGCGAGCACACAACATAATATATCTCCCCGGTACAACACGGTAACAATCTACTATGACAATACCTAATAAATATAAATATGTAAAGACAATAAAATCCTAACATAAACATACAGTGTTATTCACAAACTCACCTGGGTATGCAGTTCGAAGGCGTCCTGTCTACTTCCCAGGCAGCAAAAAGCTTCATGGGAACAGGTTTCGATGCATTAGTCATCTTCTCAGATTTATTTTTCTCGGTCATTTTAGATCAACACCGGGCACAAGTATTCACAGCACTGAACTAATGTCGGCGACTACGCCAGCCACTCGCATTATTATTTGATCACTAAACACAATACTGAATTCATTTTTATTGTGTATTGAAGAACACGGAGACAACACTGAAGCAAACACAACAACAATACACAAATTTTATTATATTGCTGTCTGGGAGCAAGGACTGCGAACGACCGAAACGAAAGGAGGCGTTCGATACGTTTGACAATTAGTACCGTAATGTTGCCATTCTATCAATAAATATATCCTTGTTTCTCATCAGAATTATATTCATGTTATAAATCTATAAATTGTCAAAAATATTTCTTAAAAGGTTTTGATAAAAGTATTATAAAATAAACAACTATGTAGAGTAGCATTTGTGTAAATGTAAATTAAATTCTTACTAATACACTACTGTACCCCATAATATTTAATTCTTTATTATTGGTACTAATTATAAAAATGGAGGAGTATTCAGTAATAATTTATTGTAGCTTTGTTAATTCGCAACTTTTATCACGTGATGAATAAGTTTACAATATTTAAGGTATTAAATTCAGACTGGCAACTCAAAATTGTACTTTTTTTATGTCAGTGTTGACGTAACGATGCGTTTAACAAAATTAAATTAAAAGTAACGTTCAACGAACATAAAAAATCGGTTTAAATCAGGACCGTTAAATTAGAGAAGGCAAAATATTAAGGCTTATATGCATAATTACGGTAATTTCGTGTTATTCATTGAAAAGTTGATGGCCTTTAGTCATACTAATCAAAAGTGATTAGAGAAGGTTGAAAATTTGTATTTCAAATAGTTTTACACTGTCACAGAAAATATACTCAATAACTTATTTGATGATAATGCTTGTTGTTCTAAACTGTATCATACTATATTTTGAATATCTCCAAAATACCTTAAGGTTTCCATTACTATAATAAAATGCGGTCATAAAACAAAGGGCATTTATTTAAAAAATTGTAATTAAAAATAATATGCTTAAATTACAGATAAGTTTAACAATATCACAAAATACATACAATAATAATATACTTATTTTAAAAATAATGGAAAACAAAATTGCTAAAAACATATACTAACAAATATGAGTATATTTGGAATGTCAAATAGAATGGCACAATATCTTAAAGTTACTTACTTATATTTCAAATAATTGAAAACCAACACCTTATTAATTAAAATAAAAACATTTTAAGGTACATATAAGACTAGATTCAATATAAATTCTGACAAAAGCACTAGAGACGTAATATAAAAGCTATTCTAATATCTGAACTCAAAAGTAGTGGAATATATTTTGTATCTAAATAAGAAAACCTCAAGAGTACTGGTAACACTTGGTACATTAAAATTTATGTCATTGTTGTATGATTGAAAAATGTTGCCATATTATTGTACATTTTATAGAAACAGTACTGAAACTTTGAATTATACAAATTCATTTTTTATCAACACACAAGAATTCTCTATGATGCACTAAACAAAATTCTGATAACCGCAACATTTTTTTAATATATGATCTTACTATAGTGAGTTTTTTATGGGTATAAATGTGTGTATGTGTTTACAGTAAATACCTATTTGTTTTGAGCAGATGTTACCAGCTCCACTTTAATTCTACCTAGTGTCACCTTCTTGATGTTTTCTTGTTCTAAAATATTTGTATAAAAATGCAAAAAGGGCAAAGGTTAGAGAACCTAGTCCACATTTTTACCATAGTAGAATAACACCTTGCTCTTATTTTTTAAACAATTAAAATTATTATTTGGTGTTACTGTAGACATAATTATACAGAGGTAACGCATTTTTTTTATAATAAAGAATACAGCTAATTTTTTTTACTTCTGCCTACCTGAATATGATGAGGTAGTTTATATAATATTGACTACTATGCCCATATAACATTTATACTATACAGTGTTGCACAAAATATTAAAAAGAAGTAGAAAAAATGAAGCCTATTTTACTTATAAAATAATACTATGACATACATTATATTTTATAACAGATTTATTAAAAGCATTGCAACACTATTAAAATATATTTACTTCGTTGGTAAGTTCCGGGCATTTGTACTTCCTTTGTTTAGAGCTTCATATAATAATAATTTAAAGTACATCCATACATAAGGTAAATAAAAATTAGAAAGACATAAAAAATATAGTTTATAAAATCTGCTACTTATTCTTAAGATCATCAATATCCTACATTAGGTGGATGATATACTAAGGGGCGGGGAGACATTCTATGAGCGGGAGGATTTCATACAATACAATAGAAATTAAAGTATTACCGGCACTCCTGTTTGTTCATTAATTTAATCGTGTCAAATTGTAAAATTTTATTGAGAAATAACTATATCACAATAGGGAGGGAAAGAAAGTGACCAGCTGTGACACGACCGAGAGTTTAGTAAAATGACATTTATGTCACATAATGTAAGGGACATTATGTGACATGAATGTCATTTTACTCCAAGGATTTCTCCTCCTTTCGTCCAAGGATTCCAATTCAAACAAGGATCCAAATTCTGAACCGAGGTTCGAATCCGCAGCGGTGCCCTCAGACTAACCTAGTATCCGTCAGGCAGCAGTTTGAAGCTGTAAAGGCTAGCTGCAGCCAACAGCATTAGAATAGATCGAAAAAAATTACAATTTATGGATGACCTCATTTGAGGCGGAAGGTGTGCGACATATTATTATGTATGTATGAATTTTGTAGAATAAACTAAAATATTATATTTACTTGTATATATATACAAGCTCTGAATATTGTACAATAATTTTGAAGAGATTTTCTGTTAGACATTTAATGTTAGACATAAACACTTGAAGATGTGCACAATGTAAATAAACTGACATTTAAATAAAGAAGTTCAGTTGAGTTTCTTTCCAGTAATTCTCATTTGAATCTGTATACCGAACTGGATGGTAGAGAAAAAATATAAATACAAAAAAAATACGTTCATAAGCTGCTTACATAAATAAGTGATTTTTTATTTGATTTGAAATAAAAATTCACTCAGTTCACACAATCAAATAAAGAGACATATTTTGTAGGTAAAAAAAATACATTTGTAGTGTATACTTGCTCACTACCAGTTACGTCATCATACTATGTCATATACTCTAACATCCTAAATATTATACTGATCCCACAGATAGATGTTTCAATACCTCAGTCTATATGAAAAACTAGTGGTGTACCTCCACTACTAAAGTGTGATGTTAAATAACCTAATAAGAAAACCTTTTCCAATAAACACTAATAAACATACAAATTGAAATGTTGTATTTGTCTAATCTTTCGAGTATTTCACTTAGAATCACTGTGGCAGACATATATTTTGTAAAAAATCAAAGAACCATTTAAAATAATTGTTATAACAAGTTGTTACTCTCATATGGTAAATATGTGGACCAGTGATGAAGCTGGGTTCATTTGGCGACTTCCGGCGGACAGTCGGGCTGCGCGGACGGGTGGGCCGCCCGGAACGCGGGGTGGTTCTCCAGCTCACGATCGATGCGCAGTATTATAGGGAACGGACGAAGATCCACGTGGAATCTGAAAATAAATATTTTTTGGTTAAAAATAAGTTTCTCACAGTCATATGGGGAGATCCATAAATTACGTTACATGTAAAAGATACAAACTGTAACATTGTATACAAGGGGTTGTAGGTTCAATGTTTGTGCAAATAATCATGAACGGAGGGCCCCCTCTCACCCTACTAAAGGGTCTTGATTTTGTGACATCAAGCATCAAATATAAATTAGTGAAATTGGAGTTATAAGTTGATGTGAGATACAGACATAAAATATAAAACACTTAGGTATTCTGTATTCCACAAAACTTTAGTGAGCAAGTGGGCAAATATTAGTTCTGAAATGTGATATTAGTAGAATAGTAATATATTGTCTGTTATTATATTGCTATCTTAATATAATACTATATATCTTAACATAATATAATAATAATAATCTCAGGACAATTCACACAGCGCCATCTAGTCCCAAGTTAAGCTATCTAAATCTTATGTAACGGGTACTAGATAACTGATACAAGTACACAGATTTTTTTTTTGTAAATACATACATAATATACATAGAAAACACCCAAACTGATTCAAACAATCCTATTCACGAATACAAATGTTTGCACTGTGCGAGGAATCGAACCTGCGACCATCGGACGTAAAACGGTGTGCTAGACCGCTAGACCACCAAGGTCGTCATTTGATTATTATGTTAAGATATAGCTTTGCTAAATATACTATAGTGTATTATAAAAGTACTAAACACACCAAATGTAAACCACACACACATAATTCATGCCCCTCGACACAAACTCGTGTAAGAAGCAATTAGTGGGGTAAACAGCAAATGCTTTGATTTAAACAGACTTTCTTTGCTCATTCATCTTTACAAGAAAACTTATCCATTACAAGTATTTCCCACTTAAAAATGCTGGTAAGGTCTATAAGATTAATAATGGTAAATGTAAACATACCTTCTCGCATTAAACACCTGAGGTACCAAGCAGCAGTCAGCCAAAGTTATCTCATCTCCAACACAATACTTTCCAGCAGATGTTGATAGCAGTTTCTCAACTGCACGAAACCCTCGTGTGATCCATTTCTGTGCCCATTCTTTTTTCTTCTCTTCTCCAACATGAATCAGGACTATGAGATTCTGAAGGGGTTGGATGCCAGAGGCTATTACCTGGAATATGTAACCAGATTTATTATTATTGTCTCTGCTTATTAGTCATGAGAAACAATACACTAATCATATAAAAGAAAAGAAAGATGCTTGAATGATGTTTATTAAGGCTGAGCAGTTACAGAAGTTACTATAAAAACAAGACTAATATTTTAAATAGAAATAAACAATTATATGAATTGTAGGATGAACAAATAGTAATCCTACAATTCATAGGGATGGAGCAGATTGTTTGGCTGGTGATGTGCAAGTCACATATCTTGTAATTTTATTATATATTCTGGAAATATTTTTGAGTATTTTTGTTCAATTTTCACTCTAATACTCAGATATTAGATTTAAAATGAGATGTCACAAATTTATCAATAAATCTGTTTATAGTCCGGAAGACTAAAAGGATGATGTAAAAGAAAATGATGTCACAAAATTTAGGACTCACCCCTTGCCACATTTTACACCCTCACCTTCTTGATGTCATACATTAGTGTGTGGAGGGTATCAACATGGGGTGTGATTTATAAATGACAAATAAATAAAATACATATCTTATCACTTCCAAAATTTTATAACAGGCTATTAGAAGAGAAGTAGTAGTATAGAGTAAGATACAATCTGCCCAGCACAGTAGTAATAGTGGATTCTTCTACTTATGGCAATATGATTTTAGAAATATTATAAAATACTAGCTGTCCCGGCTAACATTGTTTTGCCTTAAAATAAAAAAAAATTTAGGGGTGGACTACCCCTAACATTTAAGGGGATGAAAAATAGATGTTGGCCGATTCTCAGACCTACTCAATACGCTCACAAAATTTCATGAGAATCGGTCAAGCCATTTCGGAGGAGTATGGGAACGAAAAGTGTGACATGAGAATTTTATATATAAGATTACTATCTACCTACCATACTTTACTCACCTCACATATTTCCCTGACTTTTGCCCTTTTAAAACAATCTTGGGGCATTAGAGGCCTCTGAGGTCTGGTCTCCTCCAAATAGTGCATAATACTCAAAGACTCCACAAATGTATGTCCATCTGGAAATCACAATAAAATAAACATATTTCAATGATGTACATTATTTATTGTGTAATGATATACATTTTTTATTGCTATATCATTTGGTTTGGTTTATTATTTTGGTTAAAGTTTATTAAGTTATTTAAAAACAGGTGTCTGAATACATTAAATAAAATTCAATATTTTAGAACTCAATATGTGTATACAATAATATTGAATAGTACTGACTATACAGTACTATATACTTGAATATACAGTTTTGATTACCTATACACAGAGATGGCACTTGTTCCATAGGGTTGACTTCCCGGTATTCATTGCAATGCTGTTCCCCTCCTCCCTTGATGAGGCTCACTGCCTTTATATCGTATGGTATCTCCTTCAGATTAAGCGCGATCCGAACGCGCCAGGCACATGAGCTTCGCCAGTACGAATATAATACTGGCTGGAATGGAAAAAACCCAATTATTTAATAATGATGAATAATTAATTGAAACCATTAATTTATTAATAAAATATACAAGTTTAATACATAATATTATTAAATTAAAGGTAGAGAATACAATATTAAATAATAAAATTAAAAAAATAAGACCTCTTCAAGAACACTCATGATGAAAAAAAAAGTTTTAGTAAGGAGATACGTTCCACGCGTACTGGTAAGTCGTCAATAAATGTAACTAAAATATCCTCAAGTTCATTTATATTACATATCATAAAACCCGGTATGTAAATATTAGAATAAATCTCCATAAATTTTAAATGTATATTACCTTAGCCATGCTGGAAATAGTTCCGTTATATTTGGAGTAGTAACTAATTTTGGCGGCCTTTAATGTACTTCTAGATAAAATATATTAACAACTAAATGTTATCAAAATATAAAAATAGTGATAAACCACTGTATTGTATTAATAAATTTAGTAAACTCGAAAGGGTGGATGTTTTTGATTTGATTGTTTGACTGAATGATTCGAACATTTCAGTCAATTGAAATTGAATATTTGAATGAATTTAAAGTCAAGCTGACAGTAACATTGTGGACATTTGTCACTGTCATTTTCTTAATTGTCAAATAGTCATATTTCTTGTTCTGTAATCTGTAACAAGGAATAAAATAAAAGAATCTTTTGTTGAAAATAGTTTCAAAAACATTTATTAACATAACCAAATATTTATTTGTTTTAAAGCAAAGTTGTAAAGTTATTTCCCGTGACATATAAAACCATAGTGATTGTTTTTATATTCACCAATAATGGCAAAAAAGAATAAGGGCGGTTCCAAAGCGAATGTATTCAAAGTAGCAGGAGCCAAAAGTTTAAAAAAATCGAAAGCTAAAGCTGTTAACTTAGGATTAAAAAACGTAAGTCTTTTTATACCACTATGCAGTCTTTTAGTATTTCTGTGTTATCGATGTATAGAATTTCTAAGATAATAATTGAAACGTATATTGAAAACTTTATTTAAACACATGCCATTAAATTGAAAAGTATTATTAATAGGGGTATGAGGATGATTATTGATCACCTCTGAAAAGAAAAAGTATAGATATATATCAGACTTTTTTAAATTTTAATATTCCAATTTTTTTAATCTCCCAACAGTTTTAAATATAGTTTACGGGGAGAACTGACTAGAAATTCTGCATTGAGTCTTTTCAAATCAGATTGTATGTGATTATAATTATATACAGTATTGTTTAAATTAATATTCCATAGTATACAACAATTTGTATTTTTTATTCCAGCTGAAACAAAAAGTTTCAGATATTGACAAACAATTCTTAGAAATAAGTAAAAATCCAAAATCAAATGAAAAAATCAAACCGGAAATGAAGACAGTGCAGAAAAAAACTGAAAAGAATATTACTAAAGAAGAAGTATCGGATACTGCAGAAAAAATTGTGAAAATGGATTTATAACTGAAGGTTCTCTTTATTTGTTATTAAATAATATATTTATTGTTATTATAAATTGATTTTACAAGTTTCTTTTTCTATCCAATGTTACTAAGCTTTTAAGTTCTAATTATCTTCTATTTAGTGTCTTAATTTTAGATAAGTTCTCTCTAAGCTTAAGCACTACTTCAGGACACATGCAAACTTGTTCTAAGACATTCAATTGTGAAAGTGTAGCCTTTTACTTCTTAATAATTTCTAATGTAATTAGATAGACAAATAAGCTGATAGCACACAGGATAATAAATGTTAACTGTAGCTTATATGATCACCACTGCAATATCACAATATAATGTTACACTAATTAGACGTATGTTGTCATTCTGGAGGGCTAAGATGTGATGCATCTTATCCTGTAGTTTCACAACCTTATCTCACCTTTCAACCTAAAGCTTATTTATGCTTATAAAGTAAGTTACTTGTATGCTGAAATAGACACAAGTAGATGACTTTTCACAAAGTCTATTTTAGTGAAAAATGCTAAGTGAATAGGAAACTGACACAACTACAAGATACCACTCTTATATTGATAGGAATCAGGCAGACATCGCCTGGAATTACATTGAATTTTTACAGAATATGTTGTTACATATATGTTAAGGTGTAGTCTAAAGAAAGTTGGGAATAATCCCCTCAAAAGTGGGCCATGATAAATTGTGTGAACATTTTCAATGTATATCTTACATGCTTATTAATTCATTCATTAATGGAATAATAGATGGTGTCATATAGATGCTTTATTTATTGCTGTTGTTTGCTCTCCATGAAGAGTAGGGAGAAAGTATTAATATAAAAAAACTACATTCAAAGTCACTAAAATGTTCTGCTTGAATAAATAATTTCTGATTTGATTTAAATAGATGGCAGTCTACAAAATGTTGTAATCATAACTAGAATAGAATAAAAATGTGAAAATGTTAATTATGTCTTTTATTGTTAAACTTTAACAAAATATAACATTATTAAACACTTAAACTAACATATTTAGATTTTTAGTTTATAATTTATTTGTTAACGGTGGTGGTAGTAATTGTCGTCTCAAAAGGAAGGGAATAAAATCTTTCGTTGTCGCGTAATTTTATTACGCAAAAGAAAGCGATCGTAACAGAAGACAATAGTATTTAAGCTAATGCATCATTTATGGTCTATACTACATTGATTTTACATGAACGATGCGTAGCTTGTAAGTACCCGATAAATATAAAAATGCATCGAACTAAAAATATACATATTTGCGATTATTCTTCGTCTGTAACATCTGGTTCCGCTTGTTCGTCTTCGCTGACCTCTGCTGCTGCCTGTTCGTCATTGTTTGCTTCTTCTGTTGGAGCGACCTCAGGACTCTCGGGTTCCTCTACGATGGGCTGAGGTTCATCCGCTGGGGTTTCGCTAAAAATAATATATCATGCTGTATATATACAAATATTATTTTTATCTCATTTTTAACAGTAAAAGTAATTCCGGTACTAATATAATAAATTTGTTTTCGTCGTCAAAAAATCGACAACTCTTGTTGTAGGTTTTGCTATTATATTGTCTCGAACGCTTCCTGCCTCAGAATTTATGTCGACATATAAATTTTGAGGCATTAAGGCGTATAGGCGAGGATATATCAAATTGACCTTTCGCTAAACTTCCGTTTGTTCGGAGTTCAATTTTTTACACGATACAAACGTTTGTCTTCGTAAATATGATATTTTAATGGTTGGGTAGACTACTGTAATAAAAGTATTATTCGTACTTGGACTCTGCATCCACAAATTCATCTCCTGGGGCATATGCGGCTTCTGTTTTTGAAAGCTCCTCAAGACGTGCAGCAGCTAATTCAGATTCTTGTCTTGCGATTTCTGCTAACTCCGCAGCCTATGGATTATTAAAATAAACTTATTATGCATCTAGTATATGGCTTCACGATAAATAAGTATATTTTATGACAAAACGTGGTAAGACGCTAGTCTACAGCCGTTTCTCAGATAACTTGGATTTGTGTCTTTCACAAGAGCCTATCGTACCTACCTATATAATAAATATATATATATATTATAACACAGGGGACAAACGAGCATGCGACACACCGAATGGTAAGTGATTACCGCCGCCCATGAGCACCCCCAACACCAAGGGAATTGCAAGTACGTTGTCGTATGCTCCAACATTTTTTCACTCGTTTTGGCGCCACGTCGTGGTCATAAAACTTATAATTTAATTTTAATAACAATAGATACAAGTAAAAAGTAGGTATTATATTAATGTACGTAAATTAAAAATATTTATTCTTCTTTCATTTGAAAAACTTAACACTTAGGACTTAACACGTACATACTGCCATTTTCTCTTAAAGACATCGATATTTATCAAATACGCGTTTTGACCTTTTAACGGCCTTTTAAAAAGAAATAAGCTCTTTTCTTAAAAGTTTCAATATCGTATCGGTTCGGAAATACCATTGCTGGAAGGTGATTCCACAATGTGGTTGTGCGTGGCAAAAAGTTTCTAGAAAACCGCATTGTAGGGGACCACCATTCATCCAGATGATCAGGATGGTATTTTAGTTTCTGGCGGGTAGTACGGTGGTGAAACTCAGCGGCTGGTATTAATCCGAACAATTCCTCAGAACACTCCCCGTGATATATGCGGTAGAAAATGCACAGAGATGCAATATCACGCGGCAAAGCCAATGGGTCGAGTCTGTCACATAGACGTTGAATGCCAATGATTCTGGCTGCTCAGTTCTGAATATATATATATACTAAACCTGAATTTTCTCACTGTATCTAATAATTTGTAATAACACAATATTTATTAGCTATATTTCAATTACCTGTCTCGCAAGTTCATCTTCCCTCTCTTCCTGGGCCTGTTTCTCTAATTCTTCTAATCTGGCAAGCTCCTCTTGTCTTATTTGTTCTGCTTGTCTTTCTTCTTCCAATCTGGCTTCTTCTGCTAATCTCGCTTCTTCTGCTAACCTCGCTTCTTCTGCCAACCTAGCTTCTTCAGCTAACTTTGCTTCCTCAGCTAATCTTGCTTCTTCAGCCAGTCTCGCTTCCTCAGCAAGTCGACCCTCTTCTGCTTTTTTAGCTTCTTCGGCTATACGAACTTCCTCTGCCAGGCGAGCTTCTTCAGCTTTACGGGCCTCTTCTTCGGCTTTCCTGGCGTCTTCTTCCGCTTTACGTTTCGCCTCCTCGGCCTTTCGTGCTTCTTCTTCAACTCCTCGGCCTTTCGTGCTTTAGCACCCCGGGTTCTTTCTTTTTGTTTTTTTTTTTTCTCAAATATTTTAATAAAAATTAATTTATACGGAAAAACGTAGTTAAGGGTTCTTTCCCGCCATTGACTTTTTTTTTGTTTTTTTTTTTAAGTAATATTTAAAATTAACTATTTTAATAATTAAATGAATTTAATCGATAAAACTTTCTTTTTTTCAGCTGCCTCGCGTTCCGCCTGGTAATTAATACATATAGCATAAGTAAGTCAAGTTGTACCTGAATACGTATTTATTTTTAAAATATTAACTAACAAACACACAAGTACATAAATCTTACTTTATAATACTAGATAGTATAGGCATACCTGGGCTTTACGTTCAGCTTCACGTTTTGCTTCTTCTTTTAAGGCTCTGTAACAAATATAATATTTTTTGAGTATCGTGAACACATTTTTTCCTTACATAATTCTCCTAGATAGGATAGTCGGAGCTATTGTCTGTTGTCGACCTCGCAATAACCGAAACAATTAATATGCCCCAATTTCACTAGGTATATATCGTTTCTCGGATATTTTTTTCGTGTTTCTTTCACCGACGACTCAATCAGAAATATAAATTGACACACAATTTCTAGCGTGTGCCAGCTAAGTCGAGACTCGTTATAATGTTCTTGTGTCACTAAAATTATATGAATTTAACTACTTAATGGCTCACTTCTCTTCCGCAGCACGAGCTTCTTCTTGTCTCCTCCTCTTGACCTCAGCTAAGTCGACTGTCGATGTCAGAACAGGTTCAGTGTTGGTAGAACGGAATCTGGCCTCTCGCTCTGCCTTAGCCGCTTTCAGTTCTAAAGCCGGATCTTCCATCAACTGAGGCGCCTGGAATTTACGGCTCGGCCTCCATGGTAGCAGTTTCACTGCACCAAAGCCAACGTTATAGAGGTCCAATCGTAACCAGTACCATTCGGAAATGTTGGGCTGGTCTATATGTCAGTAACTACTAGAAACAGTCCATCATTTCCGAGCGGAGATCAATGGTCATGATGCTCAAAACGATAGAGAAGATCAAGCGTCGCTGCAAACCAATGTGATCTGTCATTAAGCTGTTAAACCCCAGCACCGAAGCTCGTTGGCAAAGCTTGAATCGTATGAATAGGTACATCGCTATGGATGCGTTTCTGTGGTGCTTGCTTCATGCTGTGATGCATATGAGGTATTTCATTTCTCCCCGATGTATTTTGTTTGTGAATTACAAGCTTAGCTAATTTGCATCGTATAAAGACTTTATACGATCATGATGTATATTTATAAAGGTGTTGCCAACTTTGTGAAATAGGAAAAGTGTTTTAGATTTGTAACAGTATTATGTTGTAGTATAGTTTATCATAGTCATGATTTGAATGTAATTATATCTTGTGTGGCATTACAGTAGAAAGGTATTTAACTTTTAGTATATAGCATATGTAATATTATGTTATCTGTGGTATATAGTTATTGTATTGCGCGGCAAATCTGCCGGTACCGAATAATTGTTATTATAATATAACTTACTTGTTGTGTAGATGGTAGATATATCCTTATTTAAGGCGTGTAGTCAGCTTGGTAACATTTTAGTCAGAAGCTTAGCATTATTAAAAGCCTGTGGATAGAAGCATGGTGTGGAGGCAACTGTCATGCAAATTAAAACAACTAAATGTTTTCATAATAATCGTTTAATGTTAAATAAAATCAGTTCTGTTAAGTGAAAACGAGACGTCTCGGTCACCGATAAAAAAACGGCGCAGTACCCCGCGCTATCACAACGATGACTAGAAATAAAACAATAAAAAGTAATGTCGTTCGTTGAATTCGTCGTAAGAGTAATTTAAAAAGATAATATAAAAAATAGATGATCTGGGTTAGTCGGAGAGTGTTATACCGAGATCAGAGAGCGCGAAGAGCGGACGTGGCGCGGGAGCCAGCGACGACCGCAGCCGACCACGCTCGACCGGAGCCGACCGTGGTCGACGGCGGCCGACGCCGGCGCCCGCGCCGCGCCGCGGCCAGCGGGGGCCGAGCTACGCGCACTGCGCCGCCGTCGGCTGTTCCGGCGCGCCGCCCGCTGCAAGAGACACCACACACAGTGTTAGGACACGGATTTTATACTCCATTTTAAAACTGTTTTATCGCCCCGACGCCGTCGGAGCGCGAAACTGAATTTTAGACTTGTTTAACATTTTCTTTTATAAATTAAGCGAAGGGTAGAAGCGAGCGTTAGCGATGCTATTGTTGCGAGGTACCTGTGGCCTTCTCTACGGCCAAACCGGCAGCCGCGAGTCTGTTCTTCGCATAGAACGAGAGAAGATTCACGTCGTCCCTGATGCTAAGTTCCTTGTAGAGAGGCCTGCGATTGGAGAAGGCCTTTGAACCGGAGTAGTGCACGCACGCGAGGTTTCCACGTCCTGGCGAGAACACCTCACGGTTACACGGGGGCACACTGGAACTGTCTACTGTTAGACTACTGGGTCATAGGTAACACGAAGGTGGAGAAGGGATATCACACTTATCAATAGGGTTACTTCCCATCACGCGTTACTTGTAATATCTGTGTATGCGTTACTTTTGCTTGTATGCGTGTAATATGTTTACACAGAGCATCTCCACTATACTCACCAGTGAACTTCTTAGCAGGCTCTTTGTAGAATGAGATATTGTGGATGTTGTTGGCGACATTGCGGAGTGGTACAACCAGCTTTGCTATATATGCGTCATTGCTGAACCTGTATGGCACTGGCTCGCCATATGAATATCTGTCGAATAAAATTTGATAATTTAAAATTATGTGTCCTCTATAATAAAAGCGGTGCTTTTCCGCAAATTTCCAGAATTATAGCGAAGTATGCGTGTTCTACAAAATACTGTTATTTTGTAGAACACGCATACCATCACCGGATTTCGACTTGTAATTTTGTAATTCGAAGGTCCCTTTACATTTTACCCCCTACATTTTATTTACGTGTGCCTATGTACCTTTTGCTCTAAATACTTTGATGTAATTTAATGGTTATCCCATAAAAATCACAGAATGAAATAAAAATATATCGTAAAACATTTTATTGGTCTTTAAGACAGCAAATATTAGCTGGCATTTAACCAGTCTATAATTAAATCAGTGATCAGCGCTGCTCGCGGTCTACGTCACGCTAACCACGCAAGTACAAAATTTGGCTGTCCATTCGACGCCAACGCAGAAAATATCCTCAGAAATATTTCAAGATCCTGACATTTCTTAACATTCACCATTGACGAGTCACTGTCAACTGGATACATTGTTTCATTTGTGTCATAGTTACTTTAGTCGAAGTTAAAGACAGGTGAGGAGACTGCCAAATGATGTGCGAATGATTGGTCCCCAATGTCAGTGCCAGGGCGGTAGTTTTACACGTATCAATGGACTGGTCTATTTCTGAGTGGTTACATAGAGCCAAGAAAAACTTGACCCAGAGTTAGGACACCTACGAGGGTTGCACATGTAGACAAGGTCAGGTTATATGTGGCACAAAACTGAATATACCTATAGATATTTAATGACAACCCGCGACATTTTCTGCTTTATTATTTCTATTTCACCCTCATCCAGTCTTCGTGATACGATCTATATTCGCATCAAATTTAATTAAAGTTGAATCCAACGATTTTGCCGTGAAAAGGTGACAAATTTTCTAGTATAGAATTCTTGTGTGGATAGTACCGAAGTGTGCGTCTGCTATCTCCGAAGCGTCGTTTTCAGTGGGATGGTTATACCAATTATCATCATAATCACGTACAGTATTAGGTACACATCAGACTATGGTCATTCAGAATTAACTCATAAATGCAGGCTAAGCAGGTTGCTTTGTATTTGAAGTCTGCTTTGATTTTCATGTATACCTATTGGCGACGGTTATCACGTACCTATAGGTGTACCGTCAGCTTATTTGCCAGTCAATTACATTAGAAATCAGCTTGGTAGCCCATAAGAGTAGTAGTGAAGTCACTTACGAGTAAATAGTGTCGATGGGAAGAACTGATGCAGCACGAGGCACTACAGAGCGAGCGCGCTGCAATAGAGCAGCGGTATCAGCCCGGATACGGCGGCTTTCATCTTCAAACGCCTGGAAACATTACATGATCGTCATGTAGAAGTGATATAGACGGCCTCGGTGGTGTAGCGGTTTAGCACACTTATTTCCGATGGTCGCAGGTTCGATTCTTCACACGGTACAAACATTTGTATACATGAGTATGATTGTTTGTATCGGTCTGGGTGTTTTCTATGTACATAATAATGTACAAAAACAGATGTTAACCATATTAAACATATTTTTTATAAATAGATACATAGTTAAATAGTATTTCTACCTGTTATGTAGTACCCATAACATAAGCAGCTTACTATTAAATGACACTGTGTGAATTCTCCAGGGTAATATTCGTCTTACTTATAATATAAACACGTAAGTTTGTGAGTATGGATAGGTGGATATTTGTTGCTCTTACACGCAAAAACTACTGACTGGATTTAAATTAAACTTTACAAAGAAATAGCTACATCAGTATAACACATAAGCTATAAATTTCACGCTGCTTAAAATGCGGGTACAGCTATTATATAATTTAGAAAATCTGAGAATATTACCTTAGTAGTCTCCGACCTGAAGAAGTCTTCGACGGCTGACGCGGCGAGCGCTGGTCGTGTGCGGTGGTTGATGCGGTCGAGTTCGCGCAGCACGACAGACGGACGGACACGCACGCGGACCACGTGGTGCGGCGGCTCTGGGTACGTGACGAGCCGAGTGACGCTGCGAGTCGTCGGACGGTATATCAACTCAGCCTGGAAACACCACAGTCCCAAATCTAGTATCAATTTGTATTTTTTTTTATTATATTTGATTCTCTTCTGTTCTGTTTAGTTTGATTGGATATGTTTATTAACTACTACAGCCGCGATTTGATACGGCAAAAGTTGTAATTTGTTTCACTGGAGGGGATGCTAAGTTGCGCTATATAATTTGTACATTAGCTGCCTTTACATGTACGCTCTTTCACGTGCGAATCGGCTTACATGCGGGAAAGAGTTATTTTCAGAGTTTACAAATTTGTGCGTGTAAAGAAGAGTTGTAGGTCGCAATGCTACAGGTCTAATGCACTTGACAGTAGCCTAAACCCATATCAATATATCAATAATTTGTAATAATGTATTATCATAGCAAAATGTCGGTCATCAGACTACAGATAAAAGACATAATAGATTTATTGATAATTTATAAATCTTAGACTTAGTATAAGAGAGACAGAGTAGTTTTACAAAAAAAAACTGTTTATAGTGTAATACTTTCATGGTATTACAAAATTAATAATAAAAATCCATTTAGTTTTGATGGAATTTATAAAAATAACCGATTGAAAAAATTAAATAAAAGAAAAAACATATTTTTCCCCAGTTGCTATCGCTGAATTTTACATCTGTATTGCTTCTAAACTTGGGTTTGTATTTAGAACGATCAAAGAACTTTCAGTATGTTAATTACTTTCTTTCAATGTATTATTTTACAAGTGGTAATGATTGAGGTAAAGACTGAACCAATAAAAACACAAAAATTAGACTCACTAAATTCAAGTAATAACACTTACTATTAATAAATAATCATACTTAGGTATTAATAAATAGCTGTGCATTACGAAAAATATTAATTTAACATAAATAACTGTATCTAATAAGCAATAACACAGAACAATTAATAAAATCACTCAATCACTCAAAATATATAATTACGCTAAAAAGCAGAATTGAAGCAGATAATATTGTCGCAAAGATTGTCAATGATTTGAAACAGCAGCATATATGTTGTGACAACTGAATAATGTTATTGAAAGCAAAGTGTGGGTGCCACGAAATTAAAAAATCTTACAAAAACGCACAAATGGTGCAGAGAGAAGAAAAATAATTACCAGTCCTGTTTTTTTTAATCTTAGATATTCTCCACTTCTAAGTAAAAGAACATTTTGTGTTATTAAAGAGGAAGAAAGAGATTAGGTATAGTTGACATTTCCTGATAAGACACCCTTAAACTGTTATTGTAGACAATGGTATAACTTAGTAATATTATAAACGTGGAAATCTGTAAGTGTGGATGGATGTTTCTTACTATTCCACGCAAAAAGTACTGAATGGTTTTTAATGAAACTTTACAATAATGTAGCTTATACATCAGTAAACACAGGCTATAAATTTCCCGAAGGTAAAACCGCTGGCACAGCTAGTATTATTAATAATATTATTAGAATATTTTAGCCTTTATATAATAATAAAAGTCTAGTGTACACTAGTTTTAGCCTTGTCTATAAAATTATTTAATAGATACTGATATATTGTGTATTACGTGAGTGGTTGCATGCATCACCCAGAAATATTAGAATTAATCCAGATCCACCACTGAACGATTACGTAGTCGCGCGCCATTATTCCGTTTCGTTCAGTATTCCGTCAGTCAGGACCAATTTACTTGAATACTAGTCTTTATCTCGTGCTTTACAATATCAATTATTGATACGTTTGAATACTCGTCTTTATCTCGTGCTTTAGGAATAACGAACAATATCAGAAGTGATATTGATACGTTTGATTGTAGTCTGCTTTAAATAACAGAAGCCATTCGTAACAATATATGGTGCTACGAGGCATCAGATAAGCTATCATTTCACCCAAAAACATAATATATAAGGAAGTGTAATAGAGATTGAAAATTTGTGCAGACAAAGTTGTGGGTCATGGACATATAGTTGCTGACAGCTTTTGATATCGAATATGCTATACATCATCATTCAGGGACACTACCTGTTCATGAATTTACAAAAAAATTATGTTGGCATAAGACAAGTTTTACTTTATTCTATGAAAAGATTAATCGACGAAACAAAATCTCAAAATATAGGGTTTCTAAAAGAAAGGTAAGATACTTAAGATGAAAGTTAAACTTAACATACAAATTTGTCCCCAAAATAGATTGTTTAAATAATAGATTTTCTTTTACAAGGGATACGACATACAAGGGGCATTTGTACGTGGCGATTACGCACCTACCACTCCTGTTAAAATTAAAGACACCCTATTCGATTAACAAATTACGTTGTAACCGAATTCGCGAAGAATAATACACAAAAAAATAGATATAGTGGAATTAAGAAGCTGCTTTTTGAAGTTGATTGAATGTGTACATCTAAATCTATTCTCAGCGACCTTTGAGGTCGTCGTCCTATCGAACATCTCGTATACTCAAGTGTTTTCTTTAGTCTATAGTTCTCAATTAGTTTCTTTTCTGTACCTACCACATTAAGAAAATGACGTACGTTGCTGCAATCATACTAATTGGCAACCATAATCTAAACTCTAACTTCATAACTATTTCATTCATATATAATATTTATTAACGTACCTACTATTAGGCTGTAAATCAGTTTTAAATTACAGGTACACAAAGAAAAGGAACGGCGAAATATTGTTATTGGGTTGATTCGAATGGTGACTATTTTTAAAGTTGAAAAGAGTGAATAAAATAACAAACGACGTCTTTTATATATTTTTATTATTGCACAATTAGATTTAAATATTTTTAGTTAAGCTATTTTTAAAAAAACAACAAATTACAATACATTTTTTAAAAATCGAGTTTGCCTTTTTTATTTAAACCACTGTTTTTTTTTTTATAATTTGATTGATTTATTTATTTATTTTAGATATTAATCCATACTTTGCTGCAAAATACAATTATTACAATATATACCCTAATAAGTAATTAAATAGCGTCTGTTTACGATTAACTGTATCTATTTTTAAGACAGACCTTAATGCTGATATTAATGTCGACGTGACTCATTCGTACTCATCCGAAGCGTGGTGTAAAATTAGATGAGTTGGAGAGCCACAATGGCCCCGCCCCACTTGTAAAATATTATTATTTTGAAATTTATGAGAAGTACTTATTTATGCACATAATAAACTTTAACTTTACTAACAATCGTTTCAATTCCCCAGACAGATATATATATATAATGAGAACACAAACGTAGAATGTTAAAAAATCTGCAAACTTGTAAGATTAGGATCCCGATTTATAGGCCTCAAACATCAACTAGCTTATACCATTAGCGCAACTGCCGCATAAATTATAAAATAAAATTGAGAGACTAACATCAAAACTTAAGTGTCAATTTTAATTTGCAAATTAGAACTCTTCTGCAAAATAAAATAAAAAGCCAATTCTAACCAAATTAAACTGATGGACAGTGACACATTAGAATAAAATATTTGCAAATCAGCGAAATATAGGCAAATTCAGTGTTACGTTCACTACAACGTCAACAGTTAACGATGCTCTGACGATCCAATCTGGGATTACAGTCGTGACTACTTATTATTATTGGATTCTGAAAGAACAATATTTGTGTTTTTTGTCTTTGTAATTCCATGAATTTATATCGTGTAGAGTCAAAACTGCTACAGAGACTTTATCCTTCAAACCAACTTATGATTCGAAGATTATATGGAAAATTGTTTATGTAAATGTTACTAAAGGAAGTAAGGTAACGGAGTAGGTACTGAATATAAGTATTGCAGAAAAACTCTTTTTAATTCAGTAAAAATCGAAATGGCTTTGCTATCTCCAAAATGTATATCTTGGCAGACGTTGCTAACAGGTGTCTGTAATATCGTATGTCAAGATTCCTATGGCCGAGTAGTATTGGAATTGTGTGGGCTTGTACTCTTATCATTGTGAATACACGTAGCAACCTCATGTCTAACTCCACTCAAAGGGCGAAACGGTTTTTATAAGATTTATGATGGCAAATAACGTTGATGGCCAACTAAGCTTAGAGGCCCTATAAGCGACACCGCTTTTACTGTAATTTTTGTTGATATACCAGATGATTTAGGTATTATTGCAGAATGTAAAATTAGTAAATCCTTCTAGTAAACTAAATAAATAAAATTAGAATCTGACGCACTGGTATTACGTCTAATCCTAATATTATAAATACGAAAGTTACCGGCTTAACTCTGCATCTTAAATTTTGGCATATATGTGGCATTTGGGATGATTAAAGACATTGAATACTTTTCATGCTAATTAATTATAGATAAAATCACAGGAGTCGCTAGTTTACTATATATTTTTCTTGAAGCCTTCATACGAACAAAGCTTTGAACAAAACAAGCTTGACTATATTTAGATTTAGGTCAACTATTAAGAAATAAATTTGAGTCAAGTATTGGTTCTGTGCTCTTTTTGCATTATCGCCCATAACTTAGTCATACAGGATATCATATTTTGAGATCTAGGCATCTGGCATTTATTTTCATAACGGTTAGCGAGAAGTTTTCAAATCGTGTGTGGAAATAAATATGGCTGTTCCATGTCTAACAGAATGGGTGTAGCGGCCACATGGCCTTGACGTGCGTGCCAAATTCTAAATCTTTTGATCCGTTTCCAGTCTTTGTTTTTAAGAGATCTCCTCATCCGGTGTTTGCAGAAGCAGTTTTCAAGGTGAATGCTGATTTAAGTAATGTTTTGTTTACGTCTTCTGTATTTTACGTAGGTAGGACACAGGTAACTCATATCAAGACTTAAAACAGCCATGACCTATATAAAAAATGCATTTGAATTTGCACGTCGAATTTTCTCGAAAATGTTTTTTTTTCTAGTCTTGTAAACAATTACAATGCTGTTTCGTCCCACATAAAATTTTTAGTGCAATACATCTTCTATTTAAAACTTTCTCGCATTTTTACCGTCATTTTATTGTTCCTAAATTTTATACTTGTATTTACTAATTTTTTAGATCTCCAACGGAACCTACGTACTTCAGACCCTGCATTGATCTAACCGTAATAAAGAAAACCATTGAAATCTAGAATAATCCTCATTTTTATAGCAGGTAAAGTTTCATGCAGTTTGCAGTGTAAGCGCACCATCTACTCGCCATTGCCTTATATATAACTTTATTTATTCGATGAGTGTGTTGTTTTGTTTCAATCTAAAATACCGCCAATGCAATCTCGGTCAGAAGAGACACATTACACATTCTCTGCTGTACCATTTTATATTTCTTTTTGCATTTTAAAACATGCTATCATTTTCATCATATCTGAATAAATTTTGCGTCACAAAAGTAAAGAGAGTTAAAGAAAACATTTTTTTAATATTTCAGATAAGTTCTACTTCTGGCTTTTTAGTTATTAAAGTATAATTTAAACTACAATACATTTTTGAGAATGTAAAATTCAATGAAGAAAATTTGTAGAAGCTTTATTTCTCCTCGCCCACCCAGTTGAGAGAGTTGACTCAAATATTTGTTTACGAAAATAACTAATGAAGTAATGTTAATAAACATAAATAGGTCAATAATTTAACTTTGAAATTATATACTTGTGTCTACTTTGTATAATTTGAAATATTGTTCAATCAAATACAATTTGTAGATATAAATGTTTTGAAAATTTATAAATGTTTAAATTTTTTTTTTTTTCAGCAATTACAGAGTTATTATTTATTTATAAAAATGACTGAATGTTTGTAAATTAACGTGATTTGATTGACTTAAATATTTATAAAAAAAGCCATCATGACATGTTAATAAGTGCTGTTATAATATTAATAACTATTTTAATGACAACTATAAACTTTAGTCATATTGTGTACAGTTATACTTGTTTTTAATTATTTTACTTATCTACATTGAATTTGAATAATCAGAACTATTGTTTGCTTTTGCATTAAGACATAGAGGTACTTTGCTATTATTAGATATTTGTATTTGTTTTTAATATGTTTAGATGTTACCGAGTCACGGTTTACTACTGAATGAATTTGAATGAGGCTACAGTCATAGATATATCTGGACATTTGTGAGCCGCGTTTACAACTAGAACGTAACTCACATGCTATCGTTTATTACAATCGTCATAAAAGAAAGTTGTCATATCTGTCAGTCTGCATGTGAATAATGTTACAATTATTGCAGTAATGTATTTTTCGGTGTCCTATTGAATTAAACATTTATGTACTAGCTAACCCACGCCACTTCGTCTGTCACTTACTTGACTAATTTACATAATATCTTTATAAATTATAGCCTAGGTATGTGTTATTCTGATGTATCTTCCTAATATTATAAACGCGAAAGTTTGTTAGTATAGATAGATGCATAGATGTTTGTTGCTCTCTCACGTAAAAACCACTGAACGGAGTTTGATTAATCTTAACAGAAAAATAGCTTATATATCAGAATAACATATATATATATACGTTATTCTGATATGTAAGCTATTTTTATTTACATTACATTTTACATAGGCTATAAATAGGTAATAAAAGATAGTTTTTGCGTGAAAGAGTAACGTCCATCCATGCAACAATTCATTGGTTCTTACAAACTTTTGCGTTTTATAATATTAGTAAGATTTCGATGTACCAAATATTTAAATACGCAAACCAATGTGCAGATATACTATACGTGCAAATGTAGTTATATCTTATCTGTGGCATTCCCTAATTGTGAAAGCCGTTACTGAAACATTTAAATAAAATAGAGACAGCCCTACTAGAGCGTCTATTACGCACTAGAATTTTTTTAGATAACGGCCCATTTCATTGTGTTTCATTTGGCTTCATGCCACTTGTTGTAGTGTTGAAGGTTCACGGTACTATTAATTTAGGTTTTTACATATTTCGTCGGAAAATGTACAAGTTGTTAAATTGATAATCAGACAGTCCTAGGTTCTACTATAGTTTGATTCTGATATTTTAATAATTATAAGTATGTTCTTCTTCAGCGTATACGAGTATGTATTAGTCCACTGCTGGACATGTGTGCTTCTTGGATAACTTTCCAATATAAGTACATATATTAAATACGAGTTTTCAATTATTATTTTTTTAATTACACTTTTCGCTGAATAATACTTTACACGTTCATGTAACATTGTTATTAATTGTAAAATATAATTAACCCATCACCTTGATTTCTCAGAGTAGCTGTAATATTTAAACAACGGAGGAATTCGTTTCATCTAACTTATTCCTTTTAGGAGCATTAGTTTGGTTCATTCATCCTAATGCTTATATAAAAAACTAAACACGCTAATATTTTTGGTAAATCAAAATCTAGTCAAATATGAGGGGTAATTAAATTTTATATTTCTTTTTATTGAAATGCTCACTAACAATGATATGGATTACAGTAACTTTGGAAGGCCGCGCTGGTTTAGCGGATTAGCGTACCACCTCGGATGGTCGCGTTCGATTCCTCGCACTGTACAAACATTTGCATTCCTGAGCATGATAGTTTATATCGGTCTCGGCGTTTTTTATGTAAACATATTATGTAAGCTATTACAAAAAAATGTATCTATGTATTTATATCAGTCGTCTAGTGCCCATAACAAAGGCTTTGCTTAGCTTGGGATTAAATGGTGCTGTGTGAATGGTATTGGGAATATTTGTAAAGTACCTAAACTAAAACTGAAATGATAACAAGAAACGAGCGATCTTTGAAGTCAGTTCAAAAGTTCCAACTGTCGCTGTCGTTGGAAGTCAAAAGTATTATTTTTAAATAAAACTCAGGAAACACCAATTAAACGGTCTAGTAATAATCATATTAATATACTTTAGGTATGTAAAATTGTAATATGTGTGAGTAATCGCGGATTATGCGCAGTTTCACGTGCAATTTGCGCGTTGCTATTCTTGAAAGCGCGCGTTTATTTCGCCAGTAAAATTTATGTTGTTTTGTTATTTTTAATGTTTAACCAAGATGTAAACCGAGGTAGTTTTTGTGAAAATACTGTTTTGACAGAATTCAAACAAAATTCTTAAAAATATAATTGTAAAGAACATTTATTTAAAAGAGCATCACGCAAGTTTATTGCTCATTCTTCTTGTGATGAGTCTGTGTTCCGAATGAGTAGTAGAATCAATTGGTGGTGTGACTATTTAAATTGTGCATATATTAAGTTTGTTTGAATAAAGATTATTTCTATTTGTATCAGTATGCGAAGCAGGATGCTTTATAAGTTGTGTTTCGGTTGAAGGATCATATAATAAAGTGAATGAGACTAGTAATGGAACCACAGATTCCCACAGGCCATAAGTTTAAGAAACTCTGCTGTGGTATCTAACTCTCATTTACTGTGTGATATATTTTATTAGATATACTTACAACAACTTGGCAGACGAAAATTATTATATTGAACACAAAACGTGTGAATGTTTGAACTGGGTCGCGTTTAATTTAGCTATTGGACGGCAATGTCGACGTGTAATAAGACATTTGGCTGTTATCCTATGTTATTCGATTTTTATGTATCATTTAAATTCAATAAAAACAATTAACAAAATCTTTAATTGCGTATAGCATTAATACAGTCGGTCAGTACATTTTGAAATGTCAAGAAATATTTTGGCTTCTTGTAAAAAGAGCTACGCATTCGAGGTGAGGAATACCATATAAGGTTGACTTCCATTGCCCCCGGGTAACATACAGCTTCTTTCGAGTGAAATCATCAAGATAGGCTAACTACCCTGACCGATCTCATTTCTCATCATTCTAAATACTAGATGTCACGATTTTATCATTTTGTCATGTTTAGAACCTAGTTTTTAGAATAAGTAATTTAGAAAGAACAAGACTAAGAATAATAAAGCAAATATTGACATATATATACGAGTACATCTCAATAAAAAAGAACGAGCATCCTCGTACGGGTAAGAAATTACGTTTCGGTTAAGCAGCTTATAACTAATAGAATTATACATCACATCCTCGCTTCATTTTGTACAACATTTTGATCTTCGAAACATGGTTATATATTTTTTCATAACAGGCCAAAATTTTTGAAGAAGTATAAAAAATTACATACATTTTATCAAGTTTTAAGATTTTTATTATCTACTTGTTGTTACAGCGTTAACTATGTTTGTAATCTTAATTAGTGTACGAGATTGATATGCCAATACGAAGAATGATATATTTGAGCTTCTTTTTACGAAAAATAAAATGTTAAAGATAACAACCCTGAAGGTATAGATACCTACTAAAGATAAAAGTGGAAAAATAATCGACAATAGAAAATATGATTCTATTATAAATCTATTTTCCAATTACAAAAATCGATTAATTAATAATTGTTTGTATTTCGCAGTCAATTGTTCTTGTTTCTAGTAAGAGTCTAAAAATTAGGGTTGTGGAAAAATATCCATTCTGGAAAAATCTGTTATTAATCAATAATAAGTTTGACTTTTATACAGAAACTACTGTATATCATATGGGTAGATTTTATGAGGTGAAGTGCATATTGGACATAGCGGTGCGTGACGTGAGGATATGGTGCACTAAGCATTTGCTGAACAAATGTCTATATACAGTGCTTTCTCTATATACACGTTGATAGATCACTCACCTGTGATAGCTTGGGTACATATGTGATGTACGGGACGTGATAGTACGGTAGTAATGACGATAGGTAGTACATCGATGTCAGCGGCTGTCGACGCCGGTACAAACAGAAACAATCGCAGAATTAAAACTAGGTAGAAATTATTGTAGTCTGTAATGTAAGTACCTACATACATTCATTTTTCCCCTGTAATAGTTGCTTCATATTTAGCGATCGATACAGTACCAGGAAAGCCTAAAGTAGTACCGAATGCTACGGGCCCTTGCGCCATCAATAAGTCAACAAATATTTTATTATTCCAGTAACAAAAAACTATTTGTAATCTTTAAGTATTTTATCTAGTTTGTAAATAATGTAAACAGAGTAAAATATTTGACATTAAAAAGTGATGTTTTAAAAAAACTCAAACTTATGAAACGTATTCAAATCATGAGCCTCTTGAAAGTTTCCGCGCTGGCTGAATAAAAGCATATCTAGGTATAGTCAAGTGTGTATGCTCAGTGATTTGTTTTTGCAAATCCGTAGTTCTATACATGAAACCAATTCCAATCCATTGAGATTGGAAAAATGTCATTTCAAAATTCTTCAAATCTTCAATTAACGGTGAGAGTAATGACAATTCGATTTTTAATTAATCTGCTCGTGAAACCTAATAATATTATTCATTTTATTACAATATTGGTTATTTAATTCAAGTATTCCGAAACACGAAACTATTGGGTATATCCAATATCGATCGATCAGAATCAGTTTCAAATACGGTCTATATTGGCCTTATAATTTAAAATTGTAAAATCTTTATTGTACCTAATCTGTATAAGAAATAGAGTTATTTTATTGTATACACATCTATCATATTCGTGAATACATGTTACTTGTAGGTTGGTTGACACTGGTTGAGATTGGTCTGTGTGGTCTGCTACTGATTAATTTGGATCACACTGTAATTTCTATTTCCAATAACAAAGTGTAATCTCGAGATATAGATGAGATAAATTAATCTATTTGATAATTTGCAATCACACAAAATGTGTGATATACCTATTTCCATAGTCTAGTTATGTCTTGTGTATATAAAGATCGCTAAGAAGTTTGGCTGTGTATTTAATATTAAAGAGTTTCTTTTTTTGTGAGCTGGAAACTCTAATAACAAAACAAAACTCTAAATAGGTAAAGAAGTAGGTAATAGGTAAATGTCGGAATCCCACCGAAACACACTAGAATGTTATAGATAATAAATATAGTATAAGAAATCCATACAATCATACTTAGTTCACATATATAACAGGCTACTTGCTATTTCTGGATATTGTTTATCGTTAAGAAACGAATTCCTGTAATAAACCCTATGATTTACGTAAGATTTATGCAAACAAGAGTAATATTAGAAGTAGGTAATACTTCTAATATTACGTACTCAGTTATAATTAGGGAAACACAGACCAAATTAAAAGAAAAGAGAACATAACAGAGTAGACATATTTTGTGTTAGTAAATAAAGATCTAGTTCATCATAGATCTTTGTACCTATTCATAGGTTTTTGTGTGAGGTACATAAAGTAGGAACACAGGAAATATTAGAAAACGCAAGCTTTATTAAAAATTTCAGTCTAAATCACATTGAATAAATTATAAATAACATCAAAAAAAGCTCTATTACGATTCACGTCCACTTCTCGGCAAATAAAGTAGAGCGATCACATTGCGTTATAGCGAATACTGATTAGGTTACATTAGGTATGGTGCGCGGGACTGGCCTCGGATGGTTAGGGGTGAGAGGAAGTGGTGGATGAGTGGTTGGGTCGGGAGCCGGGGGCGCTACACGCGGTAGTGGTAATGGCGGTAGTTGGTGCCGTAGGGCAGGCGGCCGCTCGCGGTCGAAGTGTAGGAGTATCCGCCGGGCCCGCCCAGACTGCTCGACCGCTCGCTGGTGTAAGAGTAACCGCCGGGGCCACTGCCGGAGCGCCGCTCCACCGTGTTGCTGTACGAACTGCGCTGCGGCAGCCCGCTGCCGGCCGAGCGTTCCGACGTACTCGAGTACGAGTACGAGTACTGCTCCTCGGCACGTCGCGGCAGCGGCTCGCGGTCCACCACCACGTAGTGTCGCGGCGTCTGCAACAACCGCGCCCTATAGACACCGCCGACCTCCCCCGCCGCCCACCCTCGCACCAACCCGACCGACGACTAGCTAACTAGCGAAAGCGACACACGAGAAACGACCCCATCGATCAATACGTGGCGTAGTTGCTGTAATACACATGCCGGTGCACCGGGTGCAGCGGGCGGCCGTGCGATTGCGCGAGCACCACGTCCATGTGGTCGCGCGGCGTGCCCAGCGGGTCAGCCGCGTACGAGCGCTCGCGCCGCTCCACCGCCGACAGGACGCGCGCCCGCGTCTGCTCGCGCGGCGATACGTACGGCGCTAGCGGCGCCAGCTTCGACTCCGGCTTCGGCGGGATGTTCTGCTTCGTCACCGGGTCGAGGATAGAGACGCGGGCGCCCGGCCTGGTGCGGCGACCGAACGCCGTGATCGGATCCGGCACGAGGCTCGGCCGCGGCACAAACGGCACCTTCTCCCAGTCCCCGATCGTCGGCCGCTGCAAGCGTAGAAGTCGCCGTTAGTCGGGCGAGCGTCTCTCCAGCCGCGGCTATATTTGGCGCGCTCGGTAGCTCCGCTTTCCGACTTAGATTCTCGATGCGAAATGACCCACTTGCGGAATACTACCACGAACATTGTCTATGTAATTCGGCTAATACGCCGAAGTAACCTAGGTCTGGGAGAGTAATACTTAATGATAGCAATGATGTTTACAAGCGGCTCCTAACAAGATCCTGTTGTTATCACTCAGATAGGGAACCGCTGACTTCTTTTCGATTGCTGAACGAACCCTGCTTACACTGGGGTGTTGTTACGTTAAAGGTTCATATAAAAAAATATCGATGGAGAAGAACGAGGGTCGAGATGGTGCGAGGGGCGTCCGGCTCCCGGGAGAGAGTGGAGCGAGGTGCGGTGCACGCTCAGTAGAAGGTGTTAGAAGGGCGGTGGCACTCACCGTCACGCTGTAGCTGGAGGAAGGCCGGTAAGGGCGGCGGGTGGTATAGAAGTCACTCTCGTACACCATGGCTGTGATTTTATTCTCGTTCGACTGTAACTCGCGACGGTTGGTCCTCGACTGAGGGAACGCGCATAAGCGCGACGCCGTCGACCTTATTTTTAGATCACTGTCATTGCAATTTCCACGTCACTCCCGAATCTCGCGCGGGTTTTACTCTGGATTTATAAAATATTACATGTTTGTTTGTGATGTCACAAGTGGGTGAAGGATGATCATTTGAAGAGGAATGCAAGGGAATTACAAGGGTCTGATGAAAATAACCGAGAGAGATCGTGTGGGAAGCAAAATTCTGATTCAGCAGAAACAACCCTCATACGTCCGCTATGACTTGTGTAGGATGGAAATAATGTGTAAACAAATATTATATTATAGCTACTAGTGGTAATATATGTTTTGTTTTCAGCATAATTTCAGTTATTCCAAGGGCACTTTGTATAGTTTTTCATAGATGACGTCTATTCTAGAAGCAATTTCGTCATGACTTATTTAGTGAGAAAGGTGACTCGGCATATTGTCTTTTTGTAGTTTTTAAAGTTAATCAATATTTATTGCGATTGTCAGAGACCTACTAAAATTAATTTCATTACATTTGCATTTTATTATTATTTATTTTTTTATTTCTACTCTTATAGTAATATTATTAAGATAAGACACCACACCTATTCAATATAAAATGTCTATACATAGATATATTGTCTAAAATAAAACTAATAAATTATTTCTTCGACCAAGTTAAAAGTAAGGTCGATATGCTATGCTGCTACTATACTAGCGACCCAATCCGACTTCGCATGGGTATTTAACCTAGACATTTAATAAATTATAAAATTCAACACGTGTTGAATTTTCTTATCTACACCTTTCTAGGTTGATATACATTATTAAACTGTAGTAAATCACTTTGCTCTATTGTCAATAATTTCCGCAGCATACACCAAGAAAATCTTTACATCACGTAAAGATTTTCTTGGTGTATTTTTCACAAGTTTTTGTACGAATTCCTAACGTTTTTGAAAATATTCTATCGCTTATGTTCATCAGAGATAATTTAGGATTCTAATGGTAAAATAATTTTTTAATGTAAAATATTTTTTAAAATTAGTCCAGTAGTTTCAGAGCCTATTTAATGCAAATAAATGATCTAATCTTTCCTCTTTGTAATATTAGTATAGATATATTTTTGCTTTCAAATTCTGTATAGGCGTTAGAAGTATTTCGCTCCTGAACAAAACATGACGTATCCCACAATGTGTTATTATTATATTAATATAATAGTATACGGGGTAATTAATTATATTAGGTACATTTATCAACATAATACTTTAAATTTATTTTACTTTCAGGTGACTTATTGTACATGTATAGTGGCTGCCGCATTAGAATGATCTTATATCAGTACAGGGTTTCTGATAACAATAGTTTTAGTGTTATCAAATTCTTTAGTAATTACACGATTAGACTAATACCAATAATAATAATAACCCTGGAAAATTCACACAGCGTCATCTCATATATCACAATATTTTTTAGTAAATACATACATAATATATATAAAAACACCCAAATTGATACAATCATACCCAAGAATACAAATAGAATACTTTATAATACTAGAAACTTTCAATTTGTTTTTTGAGACAACTTGTAGTGCCTAATATATATAATTATACTGTATGAAAATATAACTTGTCTGTCCTCATGTTACACTCTACCTTCAGATAATATGCGGTTTAATGATGACACTGTAACAAACAGACACTCTCCAATTTATTATATTCGTATGGATTTCTGGTAGATAAGGAAATCAGGGACAAACCTTCTTGTTCAAACGACAAGCTAGTAGCGACCTCCATTGGACAGATTTGAGCAAAACTCTGGAGTCGACTGCTTCTGGAACTATTGCCACTTGTTGGCTGGTTCTGTATTTTTTGAGGTTCCTGTCAACCCGTGTTAATATTCAATACGCGTTAGCATATTGTCTTCAAATACCCAAATATGTATGCATACGTATTATCACTATATAGTTTAATGGGAAAGGTAATGATAGCAATGTAGACTAATAACCCCATAACTATATACATTATATATAGGCAACAGTTACCATTAACCATCAGGGTGAGCAATGAGTTTGTTTGCTATTCTATTAAACTATTCCAATTAAATAATCTCTCGAGATATATAGAATTCACTAGATTGAAATCTCAATAGTTTCAGAGTAAGAAACTATTGACATTTCTATATGTATAATAGGCAGCAAGATATATATTGCTTCTCGAAATTGTGTAATAACTTTATAATAGCAACTTTAGTGCACGCTGTGTTGTGGTCAGGAATTGTTTTTTTTTATGTAATTTAAGGACTTTTGTATAACTAAAAGTACATGCCAGTCTCCTTGTACCTAAATTTGTTGCAATTTACTCTACCCACACTATATGAAGGATCAGCTAAAATACTTTGAGTGAACTGCTGATATACAATCTTTGTATATGTAGAGGGATAGTATAAAAGCTTTTACTACCAAAGTCTTCCAACGATAATATAAATTAACTTAATGAATTTGATAATCCCTTAATTTTTTTATATATTACATACATTATATGTTCATTTTCTCTCTTTTTTCTTTTTAATACTATTTCGAAAAGGTGATATCAGTAGTTACGAAATCTAAGACTAAATCCTTACAAATTTTAAATAAAATATATATACAATAGTAAGTTTAAGTGCAACATGATTTAACTCACTACGATAGCATGTTTTAAAATAATCATTCATAAACATTGAAAACTGTTTGTAGTTGCAAGACTTCAGTAACGAACGCTCAGAACTGCATATTTAAGTGGCAATATTTAGTAAACATTTTGGCATGTTTTTATCGAAACAATTAGGTACAAAATAAACAAACGTTCAAAAGAATGTACATGATAGTTGATTCCGTATGACTATGTAATACTAACTAATTTCGATAAAATATATGCAAGTATCACTAAGTATGCCACTTAAAAAAATAGGATATTGTGTGTATTATTGTTGGTGTATGTGAAATGTGCCTAATTAATATGACGATAGGGTACCATTTTATGTGGTCCAAGTCGCTGGTAACATCCAATACATATCCATAAAGTAACAATCATAATAATGTCGAAGGGTGGTCACAACAGCGAAAGCTAATAATACAACAACCAAAAAGTAATTGTAAACTTAAACTATTTATTTCTCCTTTTACAAAATGACCTTTAAGAATTTACAATAATTTTAACGCCGTCCGATTAATATATATTTGCAGACTTGAATCACAGAGCCGAACCGAGTGTTCGTTTCATATAAAACTTTGGACCCAGAAATAAACATAATACAGTTGTAATATAATGGTAAATCAAACACCCGTAGTCCCAGACCCACTGCTTTATTGACTTACCAGTGTTTCCATACAATAAATCATAACAAGGTCAAACAAAACAACATGTGCCGAACTTAATAATTATAAATAGGTTAAACTGTCTGGCGCGTCTTGTGAGGAGTTCTGGGGTATATACTCAGTCTGCCAGCGCAGGGCGCCAATAAATATCAACGTATGTACACGAGGCCACTCGCGACACTACTCCCCCCCTATATATTTATAACTTTTTTTAAAAATTTAAAATTTATTTGTTTATGTCCTATCTATGTAGGTCGACTAACTCCGGGGAGCCGTAGGCCCGTCCGAGCGTTGTGGGCGACAGGCGGCGACGCTGGCGACGGCCGGGCGACTGCCGGGCGACGGCCGGGCGACGGCCGGGCGACAAACTTCTTGTCACTGTTGCTACCGACTGTCCAGCCCCGCCTTGAGTTGTAGTTGTTACTACTTACGATATTGTCAACTTCTTGTGGTCTCTTGGAGACTTGGCTAACAATATTGTAAAGTACTGATGACAATTCGCTAGTCATAATGGACATACTTTCGACTCGCGGCTGACGAGGCACGACGATGTACAGTGATCATTGTTAGTATTAATTGAATCGCTATTGAGGTAGTTGTTCCATCGCCGTAGATAATTGAACAAAGAAACAATAAATAAAGTGATAATTGCTATTAGAGTTTAAAATTTGTGTAAAATAAATTACTGCAATGTTGTAAAGTATTCTATACTCAATATAGTGTCAAAAGAATAAAATATGAAACTAATTGAGATACTAGTTTCCGGTCATTGGAACAAACGGCACAAATTCTCTCAGTTGCTGCAATGACTGCTTGAAATTATCTAACAAACTAAGAGAAACAGATACGTAGCAACTATTGCTTACATTAAGTAGTCAATCAGGGCATCGAGTCGATTATTTTACCACAATCATGTCGAATTGAACAACAGACATGTTGCTTCACTCCACTCGTGAGCTTCGGTAAAATCAACTCTAAGTGTTACAGAAGTAGGTTTGCCTATTTACATGAAAGTTTGGCAATATCTGTATTTTCTATCTAAAAAACCAAACAATATACAATAAACCTATCACTACAAATCTCTGTATCATATTTTGTTTACGAAATTTCCAAATATATTTCTAGCATATTTTTTTATTATTAGTTACATTAATACGACTAATTTTAGTCCGCTATAAGAGCACTTGGTAACTTATCATTGAGAAGTATATATAGTTGCTTAATTATAATAGAATTTTGATATGATAAGTAATACAGATATTGGCAGTACTAAGACATGACAATAAGTTGAGGTAATTTACATTCGATCACTTACTAACTCCAAAATCGAGACAAGTCAACGCTGACCGGGTATTGACAGTGCTGACTAATATATCTCGTTGCACATATGGAAGTCAAAACTTCTATATATTCAAGTTATTTGAATCAAGTACGTATATTTTACCGCTTGTAAGACAAGAGACACAAAATTGCAGTTATAGGACATCCCTTATTTCGATAAAGGAATTAATTTAAATGTATAGGCAGTCAATGGTTTGAGGTGAGTGTGTTGAAAATATTTGAGGATTGCCTTTGATTGCCGAAACAAACGAAATGGATTGAGTTTCACAAGCAGCAAAATATACATGTTGATTTAATCCGCTTAATGATCTATGGACCTGTGCAGACGAGAGACAAATTTCGGCATACATTTTCGTACATAATAGACGACGTAAATTGTATGCTAACGAACACGAATTGCTTCGTCGTTCGTCTGCACAGGTTGTGATTGGACTCGTTGTATATGTATTGTTTTTTATACGTGACATATTTAGTAAACATGGGATGTATGTTATCAAAATAACATTATATAAAATACTAACAAAATACTAAGAAAAGTATTTCACTGTGTACATAAATTTTTGTGTCTACTTATCTCTAAATGACTAAATCGTTAGATCGTCTTTGTGATGATAGAGTAGGAATATAATAAATAATATTAAAATTACAAATGTCACCGTTACCTTTCATCCTCAATAAGTAGATGAAACAGAGAATAATTAAAAACACGCTTGTTCAACTAAAGGGAAACACGAAACAATACCATATCAAGCCTGACCAACATGGTCATCTAAATCCTCTTATAAAGAGATCGGGGCCCAACATCGGTACATATCCGTTACAATTAAAACAGTTTACTAAATATGGCATGTACGAGAAGTAATGCAAGGTGTGGAGGGTGCGATCAGTGTACATCGTGCGACCGTTTGCGATCAGTGGCGGTCAGTTGCGAGCGGTAGCGACCAGTAGCGACCAGCGGCGGGGCTACTGCGAGGGGTACTGCGCCGAGGGCAGCGCGGCCGAGTACATGACGGGCGGCGCCGCGCCCCACCCCGCGCCCGCGCCCCCCGCACCGCCCGCGCCGCCTGCGCCGCCAGGCATGCCCATGCGGTACCCGGCTACGAACAAACGCACACTATTAACATCTAGTACAGACGAAGAAAAGCGCCTTCTGCTAGGGGGCTGATAGGTGTTAAATGAGTCCTTTAAAGTTAGAAGTTGTTAAATGTTTCCTTAGCGGATTGTTAGTAATGCGGACTGATGACTCTTAGCTAGCAATGTACCATGTCAGATTGACATCCAGGGAAAAAAGATTTGCATCATATTTTGATTAAATGAGTTGGTACAGCATCTAAAAGAAAATATCTAATATATCATCGAAACTGTAAAATTAAATAGGTAGACATAGGTGTATTCCATGGAATATTGTCAGATCCAGCTTGCGATGTAGCCAAGTTATTGTTCTGGCTGGTATCACATTAGTTTAAGTTGTTTTTTTTTAAATTATGTTATTTAGAAGAGGTACGATAGTATTATATTGTTATCGTCACATTTTGTGTACAAATATTCCAAAAAACAAAGGTTGTCATCCACGCGATTCCCTTTGGAAACCATTATGATAAATTCCTGGGTAATTTGTTACGATAAGCTAACTGACCTGATATCATGCTCATCTTATCATCCTCCACTGGTGCCCCGCCAGCATAAATCGTTACCGCAGTTTGGTGTACCATTCCATTACTATCCATAAAAAAAGTTACCACTTAACATCAGGTACGCCGTCAGTTTGTTTGCCATTCCATATACATACAAAAATGTCTATAATATGATCCACATCAATTAAGTTATTTAGAAATATAGTAGGTGATACTTACCGTATTACTGATGTATATAGGTTACCACTGAACAGTTAGGTGGACCGTCAGTTTGTTTGCCATTTGATTTACATACATAAAGTGTAATATGACCTATTTTAACACGTTAACAGACACTTGCGTCTATAGCCGTCAAAGCGAAGTTTACTATGTGGCATGATGGCAATAGCTGTCTAAAACGAAACGGTCGTTTTTGAACTCTGCGTCTATAGCGGCACAAATGTGCATTTACCGGCCTACAAGTAGAAGCCTAGTGTCATGTTTTGGAAGCAATTTTTTAGATTGCATTTTGTTTTCCACCTGTTACACGACTTGCAGTTTCAGTATGCTCATGGTTACGAAAATAATAAAAAAACAGTGTTAATTTTCGAACTTCACTTGTTTCTACTGTCCGTCAATGTGTTAAGATATTTAAAAATGTGGGTGATGCTTACCCGCGGCGGCGGCTTGAGGGTTGCTATACGCTGCGGGGTACTGCTGGTAGTATCCGGGCGCCATATAACCCTGTATAGCGGGATAACCCTGGAATTAACCACAATACTTCACAATACTAAGTTTCCATACAAATACCAAATATATTTATTTATCAAAAACTACATAGGCCGTCTATAAACATATGTATATAGACTGACTCGGTGATCTAGCGGTTTAGACCACCGCTTTTCTTCCAATGGTCGCGGATTCGATTCCTCACACGAAGCAGACATTTGTATTGTTCGGGATATTTTCTATGTATATTAATATATTTATTACATATATATGTATTTACAAAAAAATATTTAAGTACATGTATTAGTAACTAGGACCCTTAATAGAAGCTGAATTATGGACTAGATGGCGCTGTGTAAATTGTCTTCGAATATTATATTTACACATAATATTTATTTAAAAAACTGTCTTTGGTGAAATAATTACATAATTAATGGTTTACTACCCCTCCCCGTAACAGTGTATTCTATAAGGTAAGTCGTTAGATATCATTATGGTTCTTTTTTAATGACAATGATTTGGTACCCGACTGCACTAACGGTATACGCTGTCGGAGAACCGGTGAAGATTATAAGATGAGCACGAGGTCAGGTCAGTTAGCTCATCGTGGAAAATTTACCACCATTATGGTTAATTCGTGGTGAATCTACCTTCATTCTCATATCATACTCTACGTGTGTCTCACCAGCGTATACCGTTAACGTAAGCTTGAGTATGGATTCATACATTAAAAAAATACCCAAAAACATGTCATCCGTGTTAATGACTGAGTGTATGGAAATGTAATATTTTAAAACACCATAGACAACACTTCAGTGCATTAATACGTGTGGAAAGTGGATAAATGAATGTTGTTGTGTCATTGTTATTTAAATTCATAACCACAAAGTTGATATTAGCATAAAATCTCAACACGTTTTGTACACAAAGCGGGTGACTGGCCGATATAAACACCATCAACCATATTAGGAAACTAAAACTATTGAGAAGACAGATTCATTGAACTTAAGTAAAAACATAATATTTAGCTAAACATGTTATGTTTAACTCAATCCCATGTCATTAATGGGGAAAGGCAGGAGATTTCTAGTAATACTATCAGATTTTTTTATTACATAACTAGCGGATATCTGAAAGATGATATGGTAAGAAAGGGAGTAAATGAAAAGATAACTGCAAACAGGGATGAATGGAAGAGAAAAACATATTACGCCGACCGCAAAAAAAATGGGATAAGGAAGAAGCAGATGATGATAACCAGCTGATATCAGCTCCTTCATCCGTGTGAAATATACATTTTATATAATACTAGCTTTTGCCCGCGGCTTCGCTCGCTTTAATTTATCCCCTTAGGGGTGGAATTTATCAAAATCCTTTCCTAGGTGATGCCTACGTGATAGTAACTTTATGCATGCAAAGTCTCAGCCCGATCGGTTTAAAATTGACAAAGTTTCATACAAACTTTCCCTTTTCTGATTTTATCCCTTCGGGGGTAGAATTTATCAAAATCCTTTCTTAGCGGATGCCTACGTCATAACATCTACCCGCATGCCAAATTTCAGCCCGATCTGTCCAGTGGTTTGGGCTGTGCGTTGATAGATCACTACATCAGTCACCTTTGAGTTATATATATTTAGATAAAGAAAAGTAAATACACTGGTCGTTATGTAGTTACATTGGTCAGTTATCAGTATACAATGAAGACGAGAGCAGCCGCTATATAAAAATTTAAAATAACAATCAACTAAATTCTATTTTGAGAATAGTAAAAATATTAAACATACACACATTTACATATTTAATGGCGTAAATAAATTGAATAGATAAATGTAAATGAGTACCTAACAGGAAACTGGTCAGGAAATTTGTTATTTTAGTAATAATTGCATATTACAATAATCAAACGGGGCTTGATCATGCAACGCAGCTGCAAATTATTTTTATTTTAAACATATTTCATTTTTACAAATTCCGTTTATACCTAATCTTGCCATAAATATTGTTACAAGGAGTTTTCTTTTTTTCATAACAGAATGGCAGATTCCAAATTCAAATGTAATTGTGGCCAGTCTATGTATATCTTATTAATATTATTGTCGCAAAAGTTTGTGAGTATGGATGGATGTTTGTTACTCTTTCACGCAAAAATTACTAAACGAATTTTGATGAAACTTTACGGTAATATAGCTTATGCATCAGAATAACATAATACATATATTTTTTATTGAAATTGAGCGCGGGTGAAACCGTGGGCACAGCTAGTCAGTATACAATAGTTTTACACAACTACACTGGTACACAACTGCAACTGTCAATAGGTTAATTTACAATTACAGTACAATCCCCTTCCTTCTGTAATTGTAAATTAAAGTAGTGTGGGGTAATAAACCCATTGCTAGCAATGTACCACGTCAGACTGACCCACACATGGTTCCTCCTCGAAACCATTGTAATAAATTCCTAGTAATTCACTACAATGGGCTAACTGACCTGACGTCATGTTCATCTTATTATCCTACATGTGTTCCTCGCCTGCATAAACCATTAGCACAGGCGAATGCACCATCCGTTGGCATTAACAAATTAGAAATTATCTTTATTCAAACAAAGCTAATAAGGACTTTTTAGTAGTCATATTTTTTTATTCTACCACACATTCGGAACGCAGACTCATCACAAGAAGAATGAGCAAGATACTTGCGTGTTGCCCATTGAAACAAATGTTGTTCAGAATTAAATTTTTATCAATTTTGTGTTATAATTGGAAAATCGTTGGTTACCATACACATAAATGAGAAAGCAATAACTGGCTTATCAACAACGCACGGATAAAACCGTTGCGTTCAATTGAAATTACAGGGTAAATTGCAGAGGTAACTCGCAACAAACGTACTACAAGTGTCACGTGACAACGTAGTGCTGTTTTTTTTATTACAGTTTTTTTTAATTCCAAAAAAATTGAACATTCAGAAGTTAGTTTTTATACGCATAGTGTCTGTGACTGGAGCGGGAACACAATGACTATTTTATTAAAAATCGGAATAATAGATGTACTAGCTGACCTAAGCAACTTCGTCTGCAGCACACTTGACATTTACCATTATATTTCCACCCAATTTACATAATATCTTTTTAAACTATATATTATTCTGATGTATAAAGCTATATAACTGTAAAGTTTCATCAAAATCCGTTTAGTAGTTTTTGCGTGAAAGAGTAACAAACATCCATCCATATCCATCATAGATTTCGCGTTTATGATATTAGTAATTTCTCAAGACGGCTCGCAGCGAAGAAGTCAAAAGTGACATAAAAACAGATATCAAAATAATATAAAATGTTTTTATACATTATAGAATAGTGGACAAGCTGCCAGCAAACAGTATCTTTCTATCTTCAAAATCTAATCCTCCGCACAAAGTGTATACGATAGCACGATTAATTAAACCAAACAAAAACTACACAAAAATGTCGCCAATGTGTGCGCGGGCGCCGATTTCTTTCTAGCATATGTTTACATAACATTACAAGTACACATCTCCAGCACATGCAGGGATGCCAACCGTATGATGATACTCTTACAAATGTAAGACTTTTGTACGAGTATTTTTAGCCTAATACAATTTTGTATGAGATATTGACTTACAATAATCGGTCAAAACATTATGATGTACGATGTTAAATAACCAAATTAGCTACAAGACTTTATCAGATATTACTTTAATGCACAATACAAAAATAAAGGTGCATATATTATTATGACTTAGTACTTCGGATTCAATAAACTAAGGCATTTTCTGTTTGCTATAGGGCAATTCTGGACTGCCCTACCTGGAGAATTGCCCTACAGCAAACAGAGATTAGTGGGCGGGCTGCATTTAAGTAAATAACATGAAATAAAAATAATAAAAATATATAAGTAGGTACAGATATAACAAAACTCATAAATTAATATATATATCTCCAAATAAATATTTATTTCTTCATAGTAGTTTAAGTGTTTCGAGGTTGGCAACCCTGAATGCATGTTATCGACTCAAATATTCGAAACTACATATATTTATCACGCGATTGTGTTTGAATCAGAAATTGTGTAATATTCTCAATACTACTAAAACAAAGCGGATAGTATATTTTCAACCGACTTAAGAAAACGGAGGAGGTTCTCAGTTCGACTGTTTTTATGTGTTACCGATTCAAATTAATTTTACTTAAGAGCTGTTAATTCCTATGTTGCCACATTAATTCTATTCTGATCTGACCATCCAAATCAATTTATTTTTTAATTATAGTTAATAATGCGATTTAAGTCCTACATATATAAATTTAGTAGCACAATGGAAAGATTGCACGACTGCGCTTAACAAGTATTCGAAAAAAAAAAACCAATTGTAATAGTAGAGAAATCCAATGATGTTGGTTGTATATTACGCTATTTTTTTTCTAATCGATAGAGTTTAGTACCACTTTAATCTATATATTTCGAATATATAAACTTTCAATTACAAACTCTCAAGTAACTAACTCAGTTTAGCGTATGTTTAAAAACACCAGAGTAATTGTCAAGTCTAGTCACTATATAATCCTTATCAAATAAATTCAATTATCTATAACGGAGATATATATTGATAATTTCATATAATCGCTGAGAATCATTTCGACCTATTGAACATGACTCAATTAAACACGAGCGGCACGTGACTACACCGTTGTTAATCAAATAATGATACTATCTAGATGAGAGCAGATAAAGAAATTATCATTTCTACATAGTTACATTACAATTCGTGATTAACTTAAGATATATACTTATGTGACGGACTGTATTCACTTGCTAAAAGTAAGCACGTTCTTTGGTAAGATAAATGTAAGTATTCAGATCAGTTCCAAGAGAAAATAACGTAGTATAAAAACAAACGCTAGTGTAATAAAAATAATAAATGACAAGAACGAGATGCTTTTTGGACGTTTTACTAAAGCAAAGCTTGTGTTATGGGTACTAGACAGCTGATATAAATACTTAGATTTTTAAATACATACATAATATACATAGAAAATACCCAGAGAATCAATACAATCATACTCAAGAAAACAACAGTTTGTATGTATATTATGTATGTATTTAAAAAGAATATTTCTATTTCAAATAAATAAACGAATATATACATATAAATGATTATCATGTCCTAAACTTACTTCTAAATGTACGTTTAAAAATAGTTAATGCTATTATCTTTTAAATCGTATCGCATAGAACTGTTATAAGGCTCATCATCATCTTATTTATATGTGTAGTTTGTTTATAATATATATTATTTGTATGTATATTTTTAATCTGTATGCATGTTTTATTGTGTATATTATGTAATATATCATATAGTTTTTATTTAACTAAACCGCCTTCGAGTATCTCTGCACTCCCAAGGTTGGCTGGTATGGAATCCTAATAGTCTCTATCCTAATATTGTACAATAGGCGGGCATTAAGGCCGCCTATTGTACCATAAACTTTATATATATTCAATAAAGTTTAAATAAATCTATATATATAAATAAAATTGGAAAGTCTGTTTGTAATATTGCAATAACCGTTTTTTATTACATACATATGAATATAAATACAGTACATACACCAAAATAACACTTTTTACAATTTTTGTCTGTCTATCTGTTTGTTCCGGCTAATCTCTGAAATGGCTGGACCGATTTTGCCGGGAAATTTTTTGTCGGGTAGCTGTTGTAATAAGAAGTAACTTAGGTTACTTTTATTTTAGAAAAATAAAGTTAAATTCCACGCGGACGAAGTCGCGGGTACAGCTAGTTAATTAATAAAATTATCATCAGGGACGCACCCGATATGAAAATATCATGTATTAGATACCGCTCATACGCAGAATAACGCCGACGAACTGATATCTTCGTATCATAGATACGCGATAGTTTATCACGGCTATCTCTACCAGATATCCCAGATACACTATTTGCTGATACTTACTGCTTACTACTGGATATCACTGACAAATACGTCTAGGTATGATTCGTCAGCGTATCGCAGATTTCGACCGATCTCAATAAACTGATATTGTAATATACACTTTTGATATCTGCTACTCAAAAACAATCGTATGTACAACTAGTTGTGCCTGCGGTATCACCCGTATGAAATTTATAGCCTATTTGTTATTCTGATGTATAAGTTATATTACTGTCACGTTTCATCATAATGCGTTCAGTAATTTTTGCGTGAAAGAGTAACAAACATCCATCCATCCATATAAACTTTCGCGTTTATAATATTAGTAAAATTCTTGGTCGCCTAAAACTAACTAATGCTTAGTCAGTTTTAGACGATTTTTTTTTATAAAGATTAGTTTCTCTTTCTTGATTTTAGCATACAAATATCAGTTATATAAATTCGTTTTTCTATTTTTGTCCATCTGGAATCAATCTATTAGTATTTATTACATATTAATGACTATGTCATTTTGAGTTAACACACATTGAGCGATATGATCTTCTTTATTTATATATATAACTAGCTGTTCCCGCGCCTTCGTCCGCGTGGAATTTAACTTTATTTTTCTAAAATAAAAGTAGCCTAAGTTACTCCTTATTACATCAGGTACCTGTCAAAAAAAAGTCTCGTCAAAATCGGTCCAGCCATTTCAGAGATTAGCCGGAACAAACCGACCGACAGACAGACAAACAAAAATTATAAAAAATGTTAATTTGGTATATGTACCATATATATATTCATATGCATGTAGTAAAAAACGGTTATTTCAATATTACAAACAGACACTCCAATTTTATTTATATATATATCTATATATATAAATAAAATTGTATAGAATAGATATATATATATATACACATATGTAAATCGTTCCATATTCAACTACTTATAAGCAACGATTTGTTTCAACCGATTATAGTCAAATATGGTCAAAACGAGTGAAACATGTCATATAGGGTGATAAGGTTTTATCGCTCTAGCAAATCGTATAATTGCAATATATTAATTCACTTATGTAGTTCAAATTCTACATATTGTAAACCATTATTTTCTATTACTTATTCGATAGTACTCTTTTTTAATATTAACAAGTATGACAGAGACGACCCTACTACCGTATCAAGGATAATAAAAACAGAGGACAATTTAAACAGCGCCATCTAGTCCCAAGCAAAACAGAGCTCGTTTTGATTACTATACAACTAATTTAAATTTGACGCGTTCATTATACGTATAATTAGGAAAAATGACGGTTTGACGGTGACCAAGTTTTGTTTATTTTATTCAATATTTAAAGAGAGAAATTATTAAATAAAACGTGGTATTTCCTAATACGTACATATAACTGATACTAATACTACAATACATTTTAAATGCATTAATAATATACATAAATAATACCCAGACCAATACAAACAATTATACTCATGGACACACTCAACATAAACACTTATTATCTTGTTTTTATTTAAAAAAAACACTACAAAATTGGATTGAATTGTAATTGTTGAAACTCTTTTGATATTAATATCTTTAGTTTACTTTCTTTAATCAAAACTATAAAACAAAATTATGTATATGTCACTTCAGTATCTACCATTAACATTAAAATATTTATCCCTTTATAGTTTTACTACATTTTTTACAACAGAAATTAGACAGTCAATTCCAAAGTAGACTTGGTGATCGAAATGGACAGCTTAGCATCTAAGAAATGAGTTGTGACATATTTACCTGGGCATACCAATATCCCATGCCTTGTTGATATGGATAGGGGTACTGCGTTTGTGCACCCATTGACGCCGGCGCTGCGGGCGCATTATTCGTACTCTGCAATTACATACATAAACACATTACTATAATAACAATAATAATAAAACTGGACAATACGGTTTCAGAGGAGCTTCAATTGTGGAATGAACTACCTGCCGAGGTTTTCTCGAGAGACTACAGCATGGGGTTTTATAATAAGGTACACCCTTGATGGTTTATGGAGGTCTTTATGGTCGGCAACGCGCATGTGAAACCTCTGGTGTTGAAGGCGTCCATAGGCTACGGTAACCGTTTACCAACAGAAGGACTTATGCATGCTTGTTTGCCGAGAGACCTATTAAATTTGGTAGGTCAGAGACCACCTGAACAAATCGTACTGATTTGTTCAGGTGGTCTCTTAGAAACAACAATAATAATATCTCAGGTCAAGTCACACAGTGCCATCTAGTTCCCAGCTGAGCAGAGCGTGTTATGGGTATTAGACAACAGATACAAATATATACATACATTTTTATTTACATATTCATAGAAAACATTTAGACCGATACAAACAATTATACTCATTAATACAAATGTTGTACCGTGCGAGGAATCGAACCCGCGACCATCGCAAGGCGGTATGCTAAACCGCCAGACCACCGGGGCCGTCGAAACATACAATACATATTATATAGGAGTGAAAGTGATCTGTAATTATGTACAACTTGTATTTTGGCTGTTCTCCAATTATAAGATTTCGAGTCACGGTATAGGAACAGGTTTTGCACGCAAGTAATTAGTGGGTTGCTATATTTTTAAACAGAAAACTATTATTTTATTGTTATCAACGGAAGACTTTAATAATTATTGCCAGATTAGTGATAATATTAGGTATAATGTTTGTTTTTTATCAATAAACATTTGTCATCTCTATTATTAGTATATTAAATAATGCAGAATATGTACTGTACATACGCTTAACACTGGAAAGTGGATATGCAAGAATTACGTCACAAGTTAAGAGGAAGGGAGGAAGGGGGGAGACAGAAAAGAGTTTGTAGTGACAAACTTTGTTTAAAAAAATTGTGATAACTACCATTAAGTCTTATATTTTGTGACATCACATTAAAATGTTAATATTTAAACATGAAAATTGAAATGTGAGTAGTTCAAAAACTACTGAAAACAATGGCACATAATTTAATGATTGTCCTTAAGTTTTTACCATTCAGTGAAAAATAAAAAAAAGGTAATTTGAACATTTGCCAGATAAAAAACAATGATTCTATAATTCGAAAATATTCTTGAAAAATCTTATGAGCAGTCACATCTGAGGTCTAAATTATGTCTTATGGGTATAGGACTAAGCAGTTTCACTGCCACAAAACAAGTTGACTAAATTATTCAATAATTCAATTAATTAATTATACAATTTCCTACACAGACCTTTATACATTGGTGTTTTATTTTTGTTTAGAAAATAGTACAAAATAGGAGAAACAAGAGAACAAAACAAGTTTAAATTTGCATATTTATAATACCATAAATATGTAAATTCAAACCCCAATGGCTATCTTTTAGATAAACATATATTAATTATAAACTTTAACAAAGAAATTGTTTTATCTAATCTAAAATCCAAGTTGTTTTTATAACTGATTCTAAAGTGATATCTATAAAAGTTAAAAGAAAAATATTTGATAATTATCAACATTTTCTATATTAACATTGTAGTGTCAATTTTGCGACTTTATGCTTTATATAAACAATTTATTATCATTTTTTTTTTTCTTAATTAAAGTACATGACAAATAATAACTAAAATAGCTGGATATTATATCAAGCCTAAAGATTCCCATAACATTGGCCTTATGAGGCCTATGAGATTATAAATGTGAAAGTGTCTGTCTCGCAGTTTATTACCTTTTCATTTATAAACAGCTGGTTGAATCCTAATTAAATTTAATGTAAAGATTGATTTCATTATAAGGATGAAGATACATTATTTATTTATTTAACTTCAATGCACAAAGATAAAGTGTACATATGGCAGACTTAAAACCTTGCAGTCAACCATGAGTGGTGCAGAGAAAGATTGTTGGCAGTGCTTTAATATAAATGAGAAAAGTCGAAAAAAAAATTAATGCAAGTTGTTATCTTTTAAATCGCCAAAGTCACAGCATTCAGATATGATTGGCAAAAAGAAAACAAATGGATGCTAGTTTTACACATGTCAAGATTCCTCCAATTCTAAATATGTAAGGCTCAATAGTATATTGTACTTGATTTTTGATGATAATAATAAATTTTAAATAGGACATAGCAACAAAATAATACTAAAGAATAATAGGCTTATATTAATTACGATGGTAATTAATCATTGTAATTTATTTGGATAAATAATTACATGGCTGGGACAATATTTAAGCAGGATAAATATTTTGTCTATGGGCTCAAGCAACAAAAAAGCAACATTGAACAATCATTTGAGTCATTGTTGTCATGACACAACTTTTAAATGACAAACAAAGCTCATGGGGCATTTAAGTATAAACCGTCTTGTTCATCTCATGATGAGATAGTTTTCAGCAGTAGATTAAAGAAATGAGTATGACTATTCAAGTGTTTTAATTACGGTTAACCTTTTGTATTTCTGTCGTCTGACGCAGCAACCAAAAGTGAAGAGGCGGTATGCGCGCATCAGCTGTATTTTTTAAAATGCATTTTGATCTTATTTCATTTTAAATAAAGACTAAACTGGTTAAAAAGAAGTCAATTTTTGTGGGCACAGATCTATGACAAGATGGTAATGCAGTCTAAGAGGGGTGCACAGATCTGTGACAAGACAGTAATATGGTTTAAGAGGGGTGCACAGATCTGTGGCAAGACGGTAATATGGTTTAAGAGGGGTGCACAGATCTGTGTCAGAATGTTCGATAGGTTAATATAGAATTTCTATTCTATTAAAGATACAATTAATCTACATACTATTATATTCAGTTCTATAGTCATGAAAACTGAACAGTCAACCAGACAAACAAAATTCCTGTTATTTCTTTATATTTTTTAACTTCAAAATAGTATTTCTAATCTATAACTATTGCTTTGCTCTGGTGTACTAATTATGAAAATAAGACCATATTTATTGTCTTGACACTATTCAGTTGTTCAATTTATTGCATTATTGTATTTGTCACTTGAGACAAACTAAACAACTGAACATCAATCCATTAAAGTGTCTATTCTGTCAATATTTTTTAACCATTTTTTCATTTGTTTTATAATCCTTCTCGTGATAACTTACACATAACAAAAAAACATTTGTGTTCATCATTTACTTACATGAAGTTGGCAAATTGATTTTTATTTAAATCATAATATATGAATGACAAAGGTTTATTACTTTTATAAGCAGCACCTATACAACTGGTTGAACTTTCAGAGGTATGGAGGCATTATAGATTAGTTGTGGCACAGTAACACATACATCATAGGTGTTCGAGTGAATTCTATGAGGTATGATACTGTTTACATAGACACATGTTTACTATGATTACCACTTCACATGAAGTCATCTACTTCTGTGGTATTGGAATTATACTTTCACTAATTTCAATGGAACAAAGTAACAGATACTAATAATTACAGATAACGGAAAATAATTACAGACTACATATATTGTTGAAATAAATGCTATTTCTAAATGGAATAACCTTTCTCACTATTGTAAATATACAAACCTGGTTGTCACCACCTCCATTCTCTTTGCCCCAGAAACATTTGACTGTGTGTCCACTAATTTCTGTGTTATGTGTCGCTTCAATTGCATGCGCTGCCGCTTCTTTTGTTGTGAACCTAATGAAAGCATATCCTTTGTCCCTGAATACTCTTATATCCTGTATCTGACCAAATTGTGAGAAAGTGTTTTGCATTAACTCCTCAGTGATAACATTGCTTGTGAATCCTCCACAATATACCGTTGTGTTGGTCGGTGAACTCTGGTTATAAACCTCGTCAAATGTAGGTTGCTTGGCTCGCTTGCTACTCGGCGCACCCTCGTTTGGCCTATTTGGTGGAGGTTTGCGAGTCGACCAATTCGTACGTATAGAACGCGAGCCCAACCATTGGCCGTTCATCGCTTGGATTGCCGCCTCAGCGTCTGCCTTCTTCACGAACGATACAAAAGCGTACCCTTTAGATTTGAGCGTTTGTGGGTCGCGGACTATCCGACAGTTTGATATCTCACCGAAAGGCGCAAAAGCCTCTCGTAGTATATGAGTTTCAATTTCTGGTGACAGATCACCGACGAATATGTGGTGATGATTACTAGTATCCGTTTTCGGCTGATTGCCGGGACTCGTAGCCCAGTTAACCTTCATTTCCTTCTCGAGGAAGACTCGTTTATTCATGGCGGCCAGGGCTGTAGCTGCCGCCGAATGACTTGTAAACTCGAGAAATGCATATGGATCGTTGCCGGGCTCACGAATTATCTTACAACCTTTTACCTCGCCTATTTGTCCGAACAACGCGCACAGAAATTCTTCCGTCACACTTGCGTCTAAATTACCGACGTAGAGAGTTTTCGGATGGCTTTCGTCGCCCATATTAGCTTATATCGTAATCTAGCGATTACTTAATTACGACTATGAACACTAATATCGAAAATAAAGGATAACCGACGTTATTTCATCACTTAAAACATTGGATGACGGATAAAAGAAGGAAAAATGTCTCTAAACAGTGCCTAGAACTTCTCGAAAGACGTTGCTGTTGACTCGTGAAACGTTCACTTTTCGGAAACAAACGCATCTATAGACAAGTTTCCGGTGGAATCAGTTTGAAAAGCTGGCGGGAAAAATATAATTTCCAAAAATAAAATCGTATACAAGGCATGTAGTGGTTGTAAGTATAAAATATTTTAGTTAATTTAATTTATATTGGATTAAAATAACTATATCAACTCGAAAGTTAATATTTAACAAAATTATTATATTATCACATAAACAATATAAACTAAATAATCATAGACATTTTGCTTAATATATAAACTTTTCCGGAAATGAGTGTCATTTCGAAGTCTATGACTCATAACTAAAGTGCTGTTTCATTTACTTAAAAACATAAGCAGTTCTCTACTGACATTGGTTAAAGTGTATAACAACCAATCATAAGTAAAATCGTAGCCACCACAGATTAAAATGCATAGTAATCAGTTTTGCCGGTCAAGATTTACTGTTTCATATTGTTAAAAATAAAAATATATCATAGCAAATTACAAAAATATGATAAGATACAAATTTTTATAGTCAATTTTGTAATTTCGGTAGGTGGAATGAAATGGAATTATTTTATATTTTAATTTTTAGGAACCCGCTTTATGTGTGTGTGTGAAATGATTATGGTTACAAAAAGTAAATAAATGTTAAATTCGTGTAAATTCATTTAATTGAGGTGCTAAGGCTTTCTCATTGGGACTAATGTCACAGAGGCTAGGAACCCAATAAATATCCTATATAACCTTTCAAATACAACTCTGATGAATATTACGGCTTTGGAAAATTATAGGAAAGTTTATTTTCAATCGATATTGTGTTAAAGTTGAACACGTTGTAGAAGTTAATTTTTGACAGTACATTGACACTTTTGATAGTTTATTAAAAATATTGGAATGAAATGTCAAAATTATGAAATGATATGTTGACGACGAATTAGTATAGTCGTATCACGATAAAATTTTAACTTTATTCATTAAATAATAACAAACTATGCATAACATATCTATATTAAACCTTTTTTAATTTAAAAGCCTAATATTTAACTTCTATTAATATAGTTTTCATATTAATTTTGTTGATAAAGGTTATAGACCGCTTGTCCAGTACACGTATGCAGTGAATATGGTGCTTAATTTTGTGGTTTATGAGTAAATTCTTTCTGAAATGACGTGACATAGGCTTACTGAAGTTTTAAAATAACACAATGTTGCCCCTCATCGAGAAAGACACTCGGGTTCCGCGCGGCACTTTGGGCGGTTTTAGAGACAAATTCCCCAATTGGCTCCGATTAATTTACTCTGATAAGAATTCAAGAAATTTATTTCTATTTTTATTACTTAATTTATCTTTTGCTTTTGTTGAACTTTTCTATGGCGTGTGGACAAACAGTTTGGGTAAGTAAAATATTTTTCGTTCTATATTTGAATTAGCTAATTGGTTCACTAGTTCTAGGATGAGTTTCACTAGTTTAGTAGAAGTTTTAGAATGCCCAAAAATATGGTAATAAAAATATGTTATAAAATTAATATTAAGTATAGAAAACATAAAATAAAATAATATTTGAACAAATGAGTGGAAAACTGAAAAGATAATGAAAAAACCATTATTTTTATGCTTTATTTATAAAAAATCTACCTTGTAAGTTAAGCTAGCGAAAGAGAGTCTGTAAAATTTCTTTAATGAACTGTATTTAATATTATAAATGTGAAAGTTTCCAATTTTGGATGGATGTTTGTTACTCTGCCATACAAAAACTACTGGATGGGTTTAAATGAAATTTATTTCATAGATTGATCATACTGCATATTATTACATAGAGTAATTTAAGACAAATTTAAGTAAGATTTATCTTACTTAATATTTGAACTTCAGTGATGATAAATAATTTTTAATGGATCATTATAAAATTATACCCCATCCTGCTGTTATGGTATATGCTGGCATGAGGCTAGCAGATAATGATATAATCCACATGAATGAAGTCAGTTAATCTAATGCGGAGAAATTGGCAAAAATTAACCACAAAGGTTTCCAAGGAGCACAGGGTGGATGTCTACCTGACTTGGTACATTAGGAGGAATGGAGACACTATTTCTCATTACTTAGTATAAAGATAAGGGCCATTAATGGATGGGCCATTTAGGTCCTGTGAGTGGGATTCATTCATGTCCTATAAATCACATGTGAGGGGGGTTGACAAAGTGAGCAGAGGTTGACAAAGTGTGACATACAAGGGGTTGAAGGGGTCAGTAAATTAGTGTGAAAAGTCAAATAATGTGGTGACATTGTATAACATGTTTTTGTAGATAAGAAATCTAGATTCCTCCTACCCTGGGATGTGTCTTAGATTTTCTAATGTCACATTTCAGTTTGAGTATTATAACATTTTAACTATTAAAGTGTGACCAGCTTCTAAAGTAAGGGATGGGGAGGGACAATAAATGTTTAAATCAATGTGACATTACTTTTAAACATTTATGGGCCCAAAAAAGTAACACATTTTATTTTACAGGTCTCATCTCTGACTCATTTCACATGTTTTTCGATTGCACGGGACTTGTGGCGGGGTTGGCTGCCTCCCTGATATCGAAATGGCGCGCGAACAGCCGCTACTCTTATGGCTATGCAAGAGCTGAGGTGTTAGCAGGCTTTGTGAATGGATTGTTCCTGTTATTTATTGCATTCTTCATCATGAGTGAAGCGGTAGAACGAGCTATTGAACCTCCAGAGGTAATGTCTTTTCTAATACAAATCTAAGCTTAGTTATAACAAAGGTTCACCAGTGGTAGACTGTTAAAAGTTGTCTGCATGGATACCTCGGTCTCTCCTACATCTGCCACCAAGCAACTAGCTTTGTGAGCTGTGGTTCAGCAGTAGGGTGCAGATTAGACAGAGAAATTTCAGGATATGTTAGCCCTTTAGCAATTAATGGCAATAAGTACCTATCACAGGTGTAACATGTAATGTGATATCCATAGTGCTATTATTGCAGGCCTATATACATGATATAGGCATGCAATAATGCTTACTCTAAGATGGGCCATTAGATTGTTTGGCATTCTAATTACAAAAAAAACACAGGGATGATATCTCAGTCCTCTGGGATAACCATACAAACATAGTTATACCATGTATGTTACAGGAGGAAGTTTCGCCCCTGTTGTTGTCATATGGTTAGTACTTATATGGACGGTGTGCTATGTTTGTTAAAAAAAACTACTGTGTGTATTAAAAAAATATCTGTTGATTTATTGCAAAAGAATCATCCTTATTGGTCCATAATTGGTACGTGCAGTATGAGGACACAGCCAACCTTTTTTTTATAAAATAAATGTAGAAATCTTTAAAAAAGAAACAAAATGTTGGTTTGTAGATTAATACGAAATAATTCTTATTCGTAGGGAATGCCATATGACGTTAAGCAAAAAAAAATTACATCAAAGAATTAAATTATATTTTTTAACTTCCCGGATTCATTAATTATGGTCGCGTGTTCGATTCCTCGCACGGTAGAAACATTTTGTTGTTTGTATCGGTCTGCGTGTTTATATCAGTTATCTAGTACCCATTACACAATTTTTTTTTAATTTTCCTGAGACATTTTATTTTTTTTGTCCTCAAGTTTAAAAAAAAGTAACCATAGTTATAAGTTTTAGATTAGTTACATTTTTCTAATTTATCACACATTTATTGCAAGTCTTATCTCGAACATATTATATTAGATTATTATGTGTTACATTTCCAATACAATCTTAGCTTATCTATAACTTAGATAAGTCAGCACTTTGTTGCATAAAATGTACAATTTATCGATCTCTCCAAGTTGATTTTAGTTTTATTTTACATTATTCTTTACATTTACATTATTCTTGTGACGATGATTATATTTGCTTCTATATTATTTAAAAATCCCGTTACCAGCGACTCGTATGCATTTTTTTAAATACTTACCCCATTACGTCCTTGTGAAACAATCTAGCTTCACGTCTAACAACATTCGCAACAGCCGTTTAGCCCTGTTAAAGTAATAAACGGACACACTTTCTCATTATAATATTAGTGTGGAGTAGTATCGATAAATGGAACATATCAGTGCGTCATTGTACTAACTCTATTTCTACTCGATGACGTCGTGCCTAGGCTGACCAACTATGATAATGAATGGATTTAATCGATTAAAAATCGAACCCGAAAGATAATAATTTATTTATACCTACAAGTTCGTTTTATGATTACACGTAAATAAAACTCGATTTTCACCAAAAGAGGACCTATCTTTAGCTCATTCAACAATCCAAATAATTTGAAAAATCTGAAATACTTTGAAACTATTATATAATGAATTTTCAGAATAACAATAATAAGACCTTTACATTTTCTGTAACCGTAAGTAGAGCGGAGCGTAAATATTCACGGCAAAATTTCGATTGGAAGTATGTATTGCTAAATCGCGTGGGCGAGCGAAGACGTAAGCTCTCTGAATATAGAGACACAGAACGAGTACTGAAAAATTCTTACATCGTAACTTACACTCATCTTAACACCATTGAACTCGTATAACCGCTTCTATAGGATAAACTACTTCCTCTCTACTTCATCCATTAGACCGACCATGTGACTAGCTTCACTGTTAACAACGAATATGTCTGGAACATCAAAATCGGTACAATTGACGTCCTCCAATCCCTTCGTCAGTATGAATACATCTTAAATCAAGTTCATACAGGATCATAATAATAAGACAGAGGCCAAAAGGATGTCGCCACAAAGGAAGTGACAGATATTATTTTAAATATAAAAAAAAAAGTTTTCTACGACTCTTGATGGTAAACGGATGGACGCCTGAAACACTAGGGGTGTCTCGTGCGCGCTCCTAATCCTTCATTAATATCTTTAAGAAACCGTATTCTAACCTTTCGAGTAAACCACAGCAGGTAATTCATTCCACAACGTAAGTGTACAAAGGAGAAAGCTCACATAGGTTCCAGCGTGTAGAAATGAATCCATGAATAATTTGAACAAAACAAAACATTTGAAATTTGGTCAATTGGGATCTCAAGGGATCAAGAATTATGTACCAATTATTAAGGGTTTCCATTAATCTAGTTTTCCAATTAAGCTGGTTTTAGGATAGGGGACGAAATGTATCGTTATTTAATTTTTAGAGGTAGAAAAACCTGAAATAGTCTAACATACAAAGCATGTACGAAATACATTCAAATGTTTGTAAATAAATGATTCAAAACCTATCCCAATTTGATTAATTTGTCTCACTTATACAGGGAATTGAGCCACAATTATAGAGGTAAACATCGAAAAAAAATCTTATTTCTTAGACTTCAAATCTCATTTAACCAGGTTCGAAAAGTCCCATTAAAGGAGGTAATTCAATGAAAAAGTAACGGGATCTCATTGTAACTCAATAATAGAGGGTTCTCACTTATCCAGGTTTCAATGTAATTATAAATGGTGCAGTTCTATAGTGACAAATTACTTTACACCACCATTATTGGAATGTCGTAAATAGTGTCAAAATAGTCTTTCAATGTACCGTTAGGCAAGGCGTGTGCCAATCTCTTCTACGGTATACTTTCCTCAACTTATTTCGCCGCCATTGTGAAGGGAATTGTTAATGTTACGGTCTTATATACATGTATATTATTATTACTTCCTTGCATTTACATTATATTGTATATGTAAGTTTATTATATTATTTTGTATTGTGTTATGATATATGTATAACATTTCTTCCAATATTGTTACCATGATTACACCTCTACCAGACGCAAATCTAATCACTTCTCTCCATTCTAAGGTTGCCTGGAAGAGATCGCTTTTTAGCGATGAGGCCGCCCATTGTTACCTCTTTGTCTTGTTTGTTTTTTTTTTATCATTTTATACATAATTGTATATGTAATTGTATTTTCTGTGAGAGGAACAATAAAGAGTTTCATTCATTCATTCATTCATTATTATTACTTCCTTGCATTTATTTAATTTTTTATTTATGGATGAAGGGAATGATTCACCCGCCTGCGCTAACGGTTTATGCTGGCGAGGCACCAATGGAGGATAATAAAATTAGTATGAATTCAGCTCAGTTAGCCCATCTTGGCAAATGGCAATTTGCCACCCTACACACACACACCCTGCCACATACACCCTATTGCCGTCATATATTGTATTCAATATATTTGATGTCCTCGGTGGTCTAACGGTTTAGCACACCTCTTTACTTTCGATAGTAGCTGGTTCGATTCCTCGATTGTACCGTGTACATACATTTATAGTCATGAGTATGATTGTATCGGTCTGTGTATGTATTTATAAAAAATAACTCAGTTGTCTAGGACAAAAGATCTGGTTAGCTTTGGACTAGATGGCGTTGTGTAAATAGTCCAACGGTATTATTACCTCTAGTTACTGTGTAATTTTACATTAATATGTCTTACAATTGAAAAACTAGTTAAATAACTGGTCTGAGAGTGAAGGAGAGAACGTTGTTAATTGCCTTATTAGTAACACCGATACCACGGCCAATGGTGCTCATTAAATTGCAAATAACATTAATAATTAAATTTCGAGTAACTAACGACCGGTGAAGTTCGCGCGTTAATACGCGAACTACGCGTATTGAATGAAAAACATTAATGATAATTTCACATTTGTACATTAATTTTTATTTGTTGTCTGTTTTCATTTATTCAAATTATAATATTAATAATCTCAGGACAATTCATACAGCGCCATCTATACCCAAGTTAAGCTAGCTAAAGTTTATGTTATAGGTACTAGATAACTGATACAAATACATAGACATTTTTTTCTTAAATACCTACATATTATAGATAGACCGATAAAAACAATCATACTCATGAATACAAATGTTTGTGTTGTGCGAGGAATCGAATCCCCGATCATCGGAAGTAAGGCGGTGTGCTAAACCGCTAGACCACCGAGGTCGTCAATTATGTTATTTATTAGCAATTATCTATACATATAAATAAAATTGGAGTGTCTGTTTGAATATTGAAATAACCGTTTTTTACTACATGCATATGAATATATATTCGGTACATATACCAAAATAACATTTTTTATTATTTTTGTCTGTCTGTCTGTCTGTCTGTCTGTCGATCTGTTTGTTCCGGCTAATCTCAGAAGTGGCAAGACCGGTTTTGACGGGACTGTTTTTGGCAGGTAGCTAATGTAAGAAAAAAAGAGTAACTTAGGCTACTTTAATTTTGAAAATAATTTTAGTTTAGAAAAATGAAGTTAAGTTCCACGCGGACGAAGTCGCGGGAACAGCTAGTATAATATATTTACGTACGTAAAGATATGTTAATTTAACTCAAAATAAGATGGGAACAACTTTGTGGCTAATCTACGACTTGGTAGACATAAATAAATTTAAATAAATTTCTAATTAACTCTTAGGTGACGGAATACACCAACAATAAACCAAATTAATAAGCGAGAGGCCGCCAGACTCGCACTTTTGTTGGATTTAACTAATGGAACTCATCTCCACAACTTGGACATTTGATAATGTCTCTGACTATACCATTAGGAATGGAATACTCATGAGGATATCATAAATAAAATTTCGTATTTACGTCATTTGTTATTATATATAATCAAGCAGTGAAGATGAGTGTTGACGTTGGGTCGGCAAAGGGAAATAACCTTAACTGCTTGGAGTTTCCCCTTATGCCACACGTGGACCCGCCATCCTCATAAGTCCATGGAATACTTAGTTCGTTTCCCATTAAAAAATTCGTGTAAATTTTCAGGTGAAGCACGAGCGTCTACTCGTGGTATCGATATTGGGATTCCTCGTGAACATGGTGGGCATATACGCCTTCCACCACGGGCACGGCCACGGTCATGGTGGCCACGGACACTCCCACGGCGGCCACGGCCACTCACACAACCACAACCATGGACACTCGCACGAGGAGCCTGAAGCCCCGACGGGATCAGGCTCGGCCATCATGCGTGGAGTGTTCCTCCACGTACTAGCTGATACCTTAGGTTCAGTTGGAGTTATAGTATCAGCTATACTAATGCGAATGTTCGGATGGATGCGAGCGGACCCTATATGCTCCATGGCTATTGCTCTCCTCATAGCCGCGAGTGTTATACCATTAGTTCGTGATTCAGCAGGTGTGCTCATGCAACGGACTCCAACAAGCATAGACCGTGCGCTGCCTAACCTATTCACCAGGATAGTAGGTCTCGCCGGTGTGCACGCAATCCAAGAACCACATTTTTGGACTTTGTGCAGTGACGTTCACGTTGGCGCAATTAAACTAGAAGTAGCAAGAGAAGTAGACCCTAGGTATGTGACGGAACAAGCAACGAGGATCTTCCGCGAGGCGGGCGTCAAGTATCTGACAGTCCAACTAGATTACTTCCCGCTCTGATCTTGAGCTTAAACAGCGAATGTACTGTTTATCATAACGTGGAAATTATTGTATATAATAATGTAATTTAATTCTGTCTACAGTTTTTTTATGGATGTTTAAATATGTGTTGTTATTGAATGGCAACATTATAGAATTTATTTTTTTAATAGAAGGTAAAATGAAGCTAATGTACAGCATATAGCCATGTGGTACCTCAAACCGTAAACGCTTGCAATATCAGAGTTATTATTCGCTTGTACTGTACTAAAAATGTACCCAATAATTTCACTGTCATATTGCATTTTTGGTAGCACGTTAGCAAGCTGAAATATGCATGAAAGAAGAATATCTCTTCTTTGTCACATATATCAGCTAGTTTCTCTAAAGCGTGCCAATAGTTACGACAGTCTGATTTAAACGGTACTTCACATTAATTTAATGTCATCTTGTATTTATTAATTTACTACTTAATTGTATGATGCAAAGATCTCATACATTGAGTAGGTTATTTTGTGGGTAACAAGGTTGTACTAAGAAAAATAATATATAACAAAGCATTGTATAATGGTTATATTACCATGGTATAAGTATTTTATTTATTATTTATAATGTTTTATTTGTTACAAATTTATGTAAAGATTTTTTTATTTTATATATTTTGATTTATATCTTGTCTATTTGCTGCATTTCTCATATGTGTAATGTATAATTTAAAATGATAATAATTGCATTTCTTTGCTTGTGTTATAAAATTATTACATTCCATATTCTTCCTTTTAGTGTAAGTAAACATTTTTACGTTTTTTAATAGAGATTAAAGGGAAATATAGCAACAGAATGACATATAATGCTGTCAGAGAGATGAAAAACAAAGGATATGATGTATCATAATATATGTATATTTCTGAGTATTAAACTATATTTGTTTCTTGCAAACTTTGGGTATAAATAGATCAAGAGTATGGTAATAATACTGTCGCATGATTACACAATGGTTCCTTAAGTGCCTCTAAAAGATAGAGAAAACTTAATTCAATAAATTTGATCTTTAAGATCACAATAATAATATCTCAAGCCATTCGTATAGCGCCATCTTGTGGCAACTTAAACAGGGGCTTGTGTTATGGCTGCTAGGCTACTGATAGAAATATTTAGATGCATTTTTTAATAAATACACATATAATATACCTAGAAAACATTACCGATACAAACAATCACACTCATGAATACAAATGTTTGTACCGTGCGAGGAATCGAAAAGCTACCATCGGAAGTAAGGCTGTGCTAAACCGCTAGACCACCGAGACTGTCTGAAATAAGATGAATCATTCGGAGGAAATTTAGTATACATAGTAATTAAATAGAACAATTTGGGTGAAGTGTCCGCCATTTAAATTTACAAACGTTATATACACCATGTCCTTGCTTTTTGTAATTAAAATTAGTATTTGTACTATAATTGAGCCTTATGAATGTATTGAATTGTGTAACATATGTAAGTAATATTTTTATTATGATCAGGAATAAAAGTAAACTATACAAGAATAATGAAAATAATATTCCTCAAAAATATTAATGTAGGAAATTGATGCGATTTTTTTAATGTCCAAGTTTGCCCCTAAAAACTTGTGAATAATTGTCTATAGTTTCCCTGTTAATACTTCAGTTATTTATTAATGAGTAGTATTCTGTACATTCTGTTTAAAAATTACATCACTAGCAATATTTTGTAGTCTGAGAGACAGTTGCAAATACAATTTTTATAATCAAAACAATAAACGAAATTGTATTGTTTAGGAGTAACAGAAGTATTGTCAGAGTAATTATAGAGACTATAATTTATCTGTCAATATTTCTGTTATTTATTAATAAGTAATATTCTGTACAATCGGTTTGAAAATTACATCACTATCAGTATTTTATAGTCTGAGAGACAATTGCAAATACATTTTTTTATAATTAGAAGATTAGACAAAATATATTGTAAAAAAATTGTAAATTACATTTTATTATTGTTAATTCATAGTTTGAAAGAATTTTAGCTGAAATTTAACATCTACTTAATTAGGTCAGATGTTCACAAATCGCAGTTATTTATAGGTAATCAAGAAAATTAGTTCAATTTGTATAAATAAACTTATAATACAAATATACAATCAGGTCACACATTATGTATAGACAGAATTAGAGATAATATAGAAAATAAATATTGTTTTAAAATAAGTGAGGAAATAGTGCCAGAACAGTATACAAGTTCTATTTGAATTCAGCTGCTTGATAATTTATATATTTGTGAATATATAAAGCGTAGCTCTACAAGTGTAATGATATTTTTTAATGCCATCTCAATCTAATCAATAATGACTAGAACTTCAGTTGAGGTGCAATTTTATACATCTTCATCTTCTCATCTTTGTGACATCCCAAAAACATCACGACTCAAATTTCATAGTAATGGATTGTTCTTACCTGTATTGGAGACATATACAGAAACTTTTATAAAATAAGAGAGGTCTAACCGTCGGACTCAAGTAAATTGAAGAGTTAAATGACCTCCAGTATGATCAACATACTCAAATTCAAATATACTATATAACAGATAAATTAAATGTTATCTATTTTGTATACTTCAGTTCGATGCCGATTCGAGTAATATCTCACTTTGAGACTTACGATTTTATTATTTTTTTATCATCAGATATTCAAGTATACCATTGTTGTAGGGTAGCAGACATACAGGAGTGCATGTTGTATCTAGACACGCGCCCTTTACGCATCTACCCATAACCTACTTACCTTTGCCGCATAAAAAAAGCTTACTTTTTAAATAGGAGTACTTTCTGGTAAAATTCGGTGTCTTATAATCTTTAGTCATAGCAGTAATAAGCTACAAGATACTACGTCGTCTTGTTGCTACAAGATCATCGATGTAAGGTACGGGAAAGCGGGGAGAAGACAGGGAAGGATGTATATAAATTATGCGTTTAACACTGTTACCAATTTTATTGCATAATCTGTGAATATAATAAACTATTCAAATTAAAAAATAAGCTCTAATGTGATATCCACTTATGAATTGATCAGATCACAATTATTTTTTACCTGTGACCGCGTGAGTGGAGCGCGGGCACCCAATTCAAAACTTTAAATTATACGTATTGAAGGATTAAAACTAAGTTGAAACAAAATATAAATCTTTTTATTTACCATTGTACCTACCAACTTAATATTTTCCACTAGTATTGGTCATTTTTTTATATTAATGTATGTATGGAATTATTTTACAATAAAACAAAATTTTAATATTAAAACACATTTTTTACATAAACAGTTACGAACTGAACAATTTACAACAAAATTATTAAATAAGAAATCATGTATTAAGTATTGAAAAAAATTTATTATATTAAAATATATAATAACACAAGATCTAGGGACGCGGATAGAGTAACATGCATGTGATGAATGTAAACTTAATATTTATCGACTATCCTTCTTGTCAGAATACTCTAAAGGTGCGTATTTTATACATATATATTATCTGTTATAGTTAAGTATTGAATTGTATATACACATGTATGAATGAATGAATGAAAAGTATACTTTAAATTGATGTAAGTAAAAGGAGCAGAATTTCAGAAATCAGAAAGGATATTTTAAAAAATAAATGAATAATAATCGAACTGCTTCAAGTAAAGAGAATACAGTCACTACTTTCATAGGTATAGGACAACTAATAAAAACATGGCTGTATACAAAAATTACTTCGCCTTGACTATAAAAAAAAACGAATTCATAGACATATGGTAGAGAGATCATATTACAAGTCCCCAAAATTAAGGTACCAAAAATCTCCTACAAGGCATGGAACTTTATCCGCGACTGGTGTAATTAGAGTCTTTATTCGATAAGCTTCTTCGCCTTGAAGTACCGGCGAAGGTATAGGACCTGCCACGTGGCGAGCCCCAAGAGGCAGACCATGGAGAATATACTGAAGAATAGAACCCGGTTGTTGGTCGACTCTGAAATAAAATTATCACAGAACCTTTGAGGAATTTCGACTATCTTTATGTCAGATATTCAGAGGTTGGCAGAAACAATAGCAAAGAAGTATTATTTTTCATCTTTATATTGCACAAGCTATTAAATAGGAGAGAAGATAATTAATAATATTAAGATCTTCTAAGGACAACACACGCAGCGCCATCTGTAGCCTATTTGTCATTCTGATGTATAAACTACACTACTTTAAGGTTTTATTAACATCCAGTCCTTAGTTTATGCGTAAAAGAGTAACAAACACCCATACATACAAACTTTCGCGTTTATAACATTAGATATTACGGCCAATTACCACCAGTTTGTTTGCCAGTGTACAAACTGACCTCATTTTTACATATATCTTATGATTTGTATAAATAGATTAAAACAAATCCAGACTGTGTTTGTTTCTACTTCCATCATGTGTTTTCAGGTGAATCATAACTTCTTTATGGCACATGGTCTATCTAATTTTAGAAAAAAAATCGAAAATTTAAAAAGTGTAATGTGGTGCATGCCACAAAAAGTTTGGGAAACACTGTTCTATCTGGTGAGTAATTTCTTACCATTAGTATCTCTCATTTCTTCTTCCCGTTTTCTCATTAATGTGAAATCTTGGACGATGGCCTCTGATAGGTCTTCTAATCTCTTCAGTTCTAACTCCATAGGTTTCAGCTTGGCTGCTTCCCCAATCTGTTTAGAAAATGATAAATCATTTATTTTAGGATCAAAATTTATTTTCTATGTTTATGGAATTTAATTTAATGAATATTAGGAATATTTGCAGGGATAGAATGTATGTTTTGCATATCTAATACAATAATAATAATGCAGGATATTCCAGACAGCGCCATCGAATCTCAAACTAAGCGGAACTTATACTCCGAATATTAAACAAGTGACAGAAGTGTTAAATGCATTCTTCTCATATTATATAAACAAATAGTGAACTCCCAAAGTAATATAAACAATCATACTCATGAATACAAATGTTTGTACCGTCCCAGGAATCAAACCTGGGACTATCGGAAATAAATAGACTATGTGTGTAATCGCTAGACCTGAGGTCGTAATAGTAATAATAGGAACTAGTGGTCACCATTGGCAGCAATATACCATGTCCGGTTGATTTGTATGAGAATCTAACGGGAGTGAGGTTTTACTAATCAAACCACACTAATGATTTTTATACTAATGCATTCCGGTACTAGTTGCATATTGCCGGTTATTATCAGATGTTTTTAAACATTATGGTGCAATCGCTCGAGTAAAAGCTATTTATTACGTGAATTGGGCGTCCGAGGAATTCACTTCCTATAAAAATATCTATATATTAGAAATTTAATATTAACGCCAATTTTTTGGAATATATAAAACGGTGATAGTATATTCTAGAGACTAGAACATGCTCTGATAAATATAACCTCAGTATGCTTTGTGCATGCAATGCGCGGGCGGAGGGGGGGCGATTGGGTTAAAGGTTTGTCTTATAAACATATCAATGGTCATGATACACGACAGCACAAACGCAGTTATTGAAAATAGTTAATAGGTGAACGGATACAAATAAATGACAATGGAATTTAATTTGTATAACGCGGCAAACCGGCAAACAGGTTCTCGTAACAATATCTCCATATACACTAGGGGAATGCGCTGCAAATGTATGTAAATTTGGTACCACTTCAGTGCGCGAAGATTTCTGTATTTGGTATATGCTAATTGCTAACTCTAAGCAAGAGAAATCGGGTGGATAATAAAAAGTTAGTTATACAAATGTATATTTAAAATAGGACATACAAACGATACACAAATTGCTGAAATCACCATGAACAATACAAAATATCACACAATTTTATTGAATTCTGTTAGTTTCATTAGTTCATTGCTATCAAAACATATAAATTTATTACCCATTTCTGGTAGAATGTTGATGTCATAGAAGGTCCACCGATAAATAATTAATACAAATAAATTAATGTTACATAAAAAAATTATGCATGTGCTTGAAGAATGTAAGTTTATGAATAATAGAACTGATAATTTTAAATATAAGAAAATATAAATTAAATTATATAGTAAAAAAATATTTATAGATATTAAATTAAAAAACATAACATACTACATAGTGTGTGTGGCCAGTGTCATTTGTGCTTCAAGAAATAAGCGTTTTAGTGAGAATTAATACATATAAATCATTTATGCAATCTCTATAAAAAATTATATAAGGAAATGAAAGATTATAAATCCTCTAAATAACAACTGGAAATTAAAATAAGGACTTAGGGTTTGCTACAGAAAATAATATAAAGCCAAGTTTTTTTTTGAGTTGTACAAAAAGACAGAACAGATTTCTGTGAGTAATGTCTCTATGTTCTCTTCTTAATTATGATTTTATTATAAAAACTTGATAGAGAAGAAAGTTTGTATCATAAATAAGGGAATGAAACAGTCTTACGAGCAGCTAAACAACACTACTGTATCTCCCTAACCATGACGTTGGCAAAAACATTGACCCCAGTTGGTTGAAGTTGAAGAAGTTATAAAATTAAAAAAAGAAACTATTGAATGAATGGTCCCGCCTGCCCTAGCTCTGTCATTCATGATTATTTATATCTAAGGTCACTGGAATAATGTTCATAAGTGAAGTTCTGAAGCTGTAGCCCACTATTTATACTGGTTGGCGCCGTATCTGATAATATCAGTATATATACATTTAAAAGATAATATAGTAATTTAAGTATAGAAAAAAATATGATTATTGACTTAGCAAATAATACTTTTGTTTCAAATATTGTAACATTACAACATACTTAACATACAAGTGATATTTGTACCATGTCTAAATGTATATATAATAGGTCACGTTTTCCTTATATTTTATAAAATATATAGTTAACAATGAATAACTACTGTAGGATACTGATTTGAATAAATTTGTTGTATTACATGGCCTTGATTCAGACGACGTACATTTTACATCAGCCTATTTTATACAAAACAAAAGTAAGTACACTGGTCTTTCATAGGGAGTGTTTAAAAATAATTACAGGCCTAGTGAAATAGTTGATGGGTTGTAATTAGTAGGAGAAATAGTAGAGTTTCAGCTTTTGGAATTTATTAAATAAGTCACATTGAATTATGAAGGTATTAAATAAGCCTTTCAAAACTCATTGAAACGACGACATCAACATGGCTCTGGGACTACAGGGAAATAGGGTTGCTGCAGATAGAGATCAATGGAGAGAGCTGGAGGAGGCCTATGCCTAAGTAAATGGCCTGGTAAATTTAACAGTTTCTCTATATTCTGCCCATGAGTAGGCGTGCACATTTAAATATTTAATAATAACTTATATTATATTATATGTCATTGTCATAATGAATCTGTATACCAAATATAATAAAAATAAGTTAAACAATTTCTTTTACTGTTATTATTTAGTAGTAGTACTAGTATAGTATACTTGAAAACAGTTATGTTAGTTTTTTGTGAACTTGGCCATTTTCAAAATTTTATAATATAGAAAATGTTCAAATAGATTAGTATATTGTCTATTAATTAATTTTTACATGTAATACTTACTCCTTCATAGTTTTTAGCTTCAATTCCAATTTTAATATCTAATGTTATATCTTGACTGACCCCACGGCGTTCTGAAATTAATATAAGATTTTTTTTAATTTGTGATCATGAGTATGTTTACTAGTATTGGTTTGGGTGTTTTCTTATATTATGTATGTACAGTGGACCCCCGGTTATCCGACAAACGTTTTGCAGGGCAGTGTCAGACCATCAAATTTGTCGGATTATAGAGTGCTGCCTAAGGGTCCCTAATAGTCCGGAATTTTTTACAAAAGAGTATCTTGTAATCGGACAAATTACAGATCCAGTGATAAGATTCTATGTTATATAGTATGTATGTATATGCACTTTGAAGTTTAAATCATACTTCATTATGTATGTCAACTAAAAGATTCCTTACGATTTAGGCGGTCTAAAAGTGTCTCTCAGTGTTTTGTGCTTTCGCTTCTGAGCTGATACATATATGTGTGAATAAACAGTAAACAATGAACACATGCGTGTAGCATGCTATCTTCATCACATGTAAGTAGTCAAATTCAAACTAAGCAATCATGAAAACAATACCCTATGCCTCGAGTACAAAAGTGGTGATGCCTACAAGTTCAAACTTGTTCAATCATGTATTAGCCAAGATTGTCAAAAAAACATTCAATAGTAGACCATGTCGGATTACAAGGAGGGCCGTATTACCACAGGTCCACTGTATTTAGCAAAAATATACATACAAATTTAAGTATTTCTATCAGGTTTTTAGTTCCCAATTCAAGCTCTGCTTAGATTGGGACTAGATGACACTGAGCAAATGGTGCAGGGATATTACTATTGTTGCCTTATTATTATAAACAATTAAATTTATTTAAGGGAATATGGCTTTGGAGCATTAAAATACATATAATTGTCTTCTACCATAAAAGCATAAATTGTATGGGATAAACAGCATAGAAAAGAGTCACCTAAATGATATCAAAATAATAGTTACCTGGAGGTACTTTGGATATGAAGCATACTTCAAATGTATCGTATGTCTCTGTGACAAATGTGAACTTTCCTTTGCTTATTGATTCCTTCTGTGACAAAATGTGACCTTTTGCATCACGGATCTGTTGGAAAAAAATAATAAACATTATTTATTTTTATAACTTCTTTTTTACTGCTGAGATTGTGTTGTTATAACTAGGAACTTGTTATGATCAGTGTGTGGATATTTATTTTTTAATTTAATTATTAATCGACTCAAATGCAGATTTTACTGCAATATCACTATGTATGCATCTACATAGTGATATAGAGTGAAAATAAAAAAAAACTAATACAATGAACCTTCTCAAATGACCTACATTTTACTGTTTTGTATGCCTGTCTACTTCACCATGCTTTATCATTTATAGTATATACTTGTGTTTCCATCTGCTATTAGAAGATATATAAGTTAACATTATAATTAATATATGCAAAAGGTATTGAAATAACTAGGAAATATATATATACATATAAAAAGCTCATGTGAACCAGATAGAAGGAGAACATAGATACAATTGTTTAGCCCTCTAACCTCAACATTACTCATATTCCTGAGTAAACTTTATTTAGATCATACATCTATTCCACTTAAAATTATAAGTTTATTCTAATAAGCATTTGTGGTACCAGTTGTTACCGGTAAATTAACAAATTTGTGCGGTTTATGGTTGGATCACAGGAGGGCGGAAACGTTGTGAGAAATAACGGTTGTACCACTTACTACATAGTCGATTCTCTGTCCTGCAGCTTCTGTGACCTCATATTCACCAGCCACGAGCACGTTTGCATGTAGTTCCTCTTTTAAACATTTCTGAGTGTTGGGAGCCAAACTCCACATTATACCTTCAGAGCCATGCCAAAAGACACTCAATACGAATAGAAGGTAATATACTTCCATATTAATAGTTAATCCTAACAGTTATCTTGTATTAAATGTGTTGAAGCTCTATTACTGAAAATAAACATATTTCTATGTCAAACAAAAGACCGATGAGTTGGCCCAAAAGAAGAAACGTCGCGGTTGCGAGCGTCAGACGGAAAAGTCATACAAAATTAAAGTTACCATCGTAAAAAAAGTAAAAGAAAAGGTTTATGAAATAGAATTCAGTATTTATACATTTTTAATATCGTAATCTATGATAGACAAAATGAAGTAGTTTAAATGGTAAATATGATACACGAATCTTATAATTTTATTTTGTTTTCTACAAGTCTTTTCAAAAGAGCTTAAGAGCTGGCAACTCGTTTTAGGTCTTGGGTCTGTTTTCTAGGATCGGTTTTACTTTCTAACTGTAATCAACTTGAAAATACGTTCAATTTCTTTATGAGTGCTCCATGATGGGAGTTTCCTTGTATTTATTAATGTTGTCGCTTTTGGAAATTCATGTAAATAAAAATTTGTCACATTTTTCCTTTTATTTACATTGGGATAGTAAATGGCGCTAGTACCGAATTACTAGTACATTTTTTGAGGGATTTAATCTTTGAAAAGTGTAGGTTTCTATGATGAATTTTCCAAACATGAAAAAACGGATAAGTAACTGCTTCAAGGATTTGGCAAAGTTTAGTGAAAATATTCACAGTACCGAAAGTAATGTTACAAAAGTGACAATTAAAAAAACTGCCTAAATATACGTAATCTACATAATTATGATACATTTTTTCTTTATAATTATTATTATTAAAAAGTATAAACAAAATATAAACGTATAAAGAGAATATCCATAAAATGTTATTCTGTTTATAAAGCACAGATAACATAATATTACATAGTTTAAAGCGACTTTGATTTAGTTCCAATTGATTTTTTATTCAATATTATTGTTGTTTGACTGGCTGACAGGCTCTGTCATAACCCAATTAGTTATAAATTAAACAAAATCATCGAAACAAAACTAGTAACAGTCTAATTTAATTTTTCCCGTTTTTTTTTTTGGTTCGGTTTTTCCCTTTTTAGGGAAATAATTTTTCCAGTACAAGTATTAACTAATCGAATGTAAACTTAAAAGTGTCAAGTGATCTCGACACAAGGACTGATATTAATTAGTGACAGATGGACTGACTGTCAGACTCGAGAAAAACCCAAAAATAAAAAATGTCAATCAGGAATCAGGATAGTAGAAAATACAAAGTGAAATAACAATTTCCTAACCTAATTAAAATTGTAACTTTATTTTAATATTCCCTTCTAAATTACAAGAAAATTATGAAAAAATAGAAATCACTGGTAGAACTTCGAACTTACACCTAGTGCTAGTAAAAATTGTAAAGAAGTCTTCGATTTGACAGTTAATTGATATTATCTATTTGTTACAAATTACTTTAATTTTGAGTTATTTATCATAAAATTAGCCTATTATTTAGTGTCTAATGAAATTAACTTCCATTTCGTAGTAATTTCAAAGTGTTCCATGTAAGTAAATGAAATTCCACATTAGTTTATGTTTACATAATATCTCTGCTTTCCTACTCATCTAACTTATATGACTTATAAGATTTTGTGTATTTTATTGTAATTATTTACTTTGAAATATTTGTTTATTAATTTTTCATTATTGTTAAATAGTTGTTTCAGACCTACTTAATATGCCCACTGAATGCTTATTCTAAAATAGTAAATTGTAATTGGTAGGTAACCATTAAGTTAAAGTTATAATTATTTTCAGTTAACATATTGTATCACAATGAGTTAACATAAAATTATAACTTCATAGGATGGTCAGGGAATAAATATTTATCAGATATATTAATCCTATGACAAGTCTGTAGCTTGTTTGTGGTTATAGGAAAGACTTTTTTGACTACTGTTTGATGGCGACTAATCGTTGGCATATAGTTTACTCTTGCCCACTTGCACTTTCTAGGAAAAGTATCAATTTACTTCAATAAAATGATAAAATAAGATAATGATCTTAAATAAAATGATAAATAAGTCAAATCAAATCAAATCTAATATAATTTTGTTATCTAGAACATTTTATCTGCTTGTGAACATCAGACTTTTTGAATTATATTTTTATTCCTTACCATCTAGTTCCTAATATAGATTCAATTGAAAAGATCTAATATAAAATGAATCAATGCAACTGAAGTAAGACCACAATGAACAATTGCCATTAGACCTTTATTGTTTTTTTTTAAAGAAAATACTGATTTAGGTATATATAAAATGATGATTTTATCTATGTACACTAGGTGTAACCTTATTTGGCCCCTATGCTATACAACTAAAAAATAAATTATGATTTCTAATTATTGGTTCTTTTTATGAAATTTAATTACAATAACAAGTTACTAGCTACAAAAAATTGTAACATAGAATGGAGCTAGTGGTATATTACTATATATTTGCATGGTATTGCTATGGCAAGATACATGCTCTTGCCTTTAAATTGTCATCTTTGTATGTCTTTAAATAGCAGCAAATATTAAACCAGATTTTTAGACTTAATGTGAAGGCTGTTACAGCCTGTGCTAATATTAGAACTAGAATAGCCAGAAACTAGAAGTTGATGCTAGAACACTAGTGGAAGATAGTATAATGAGGATGAAGTCAAGCTAGGTAGCCCATTGAGATGACTTTACCAAGGATCTTACTAATATTATAAAATACCAAAGTATATAAGTATTAATGCTTAGATGGATGTTTCTTATTCTTTCATACATATACTACTAAAGGGATGTTGATGAAACTTTACAGTGATATGGTTATACATCAGAATAACACAAGCTATATAACTAATGAGGGTAAAACCGTGGGCAAAGCTAGTTTTTTATAATAGTTGAGATCATGTGAAGGGCCACCCTGTAATCAAGAATTTTTGTTGCATGGTACAGCAATTATAAATATTTATTGTGAATTCTTTTTATTTTCATTTCTGTATAACAATGTTTCAGGTCATATCAAGTTATGTACCAATACAATCACCTAGTACTTGGTCCAAGCAGTTGTTATAAAATATGTGCGACGCACCCTGCGATAGGAGTGTCACCGTAATATCTCACTGACTAAAGGTAAGATATTCTTCTTTTTTAGTTGTAACTAATTTCCATTCATGTTCAACCTTATTGAGAGAAAATATAGCTAGTGTTCCACTTGAACTACCAGTGTATTGCGGTGTATTCTACATTTTATAATTGTTTGTAACTGAACTTAGTTTAATATTCATATTATTAGTTAGTAGTAGTAAAAGAGTGAAAATGAAATATATTATTTTATCTATTCTCCACTATCTGCAATCATTTCTTGAACTATAAGGATCTATTGAGAATAATATCTATGTACATTATGATAGATGAGGCAGTTCAGTAATCATAACTAAGAATAAACTAGTCTATACTACCCATATAATACACACAGTACTCCAGTCTTTTCTGCTTCTGTAGAAAATTAATGTCAAATGCATCTTAATAAGGTTAGACCTTATTAAAATGCACATATGTGATTATTGAAGTATTTCTATATGCCAAGCTACTTGTACCTATACTTACCCTTGTACCATATTATAATTACTACCTTCATGATCAATCTCTTCTCAGCACAGGTCTTTTGTTCATTTATTATTAAGATTTTGTTGTACAATTTAATAGTAAACATTTTCTCTTTAGGTTATTATTGAAAATGTGAAAAATCAGTGTAGAATATTTTCACACTGCTATTTAATACCAAAATAAGCAGAGTACTATGGATACTAAACAATGGATAGATTTTTTTTGTAAATATATATTATGCTATATAACAGCCTGACATACAAATTATATGCTGGAATTTACTCTGCAATCATTGGTAAGCTAGGCTGTGTTAAACTGCTACACAAAGGTACTTGTGTTTGCTCATCAAGCTATTTATGTTTGAAATTTATATCTTAATATTTTGAACAAACTTACACTCATATCATGGGGGAAGAGGGATTGTTATTAATGTGGATTAATAACCTGATTGCTAGCAACATACCATGTCAGGTTGACCTCCATGTGGTTCCTCCTGGAAACCATCATGTTAAATTCATGGTGAATTTGCCACTATGACCTGACTGACCTGACCTCATGCTCATCATATCATCCTCCACTGGTATCCCGGCAGAGGATACTGTTAGCTCAGGGGGGGGGGGGTTCCATTATCAACCATTTAAACACACACATCAATCATATTAATCTCAGATATCTATATTACACACACAAGATATATATATATATATAAAGATTGTTATATGTAAACAATCTTTATATATATATATATCTTTATATAGTATTGCTATAAAGCTGGCAAGGCAATGCGATCGAAACGTTCAATATCCGGTATTACGGACGAGATCGGGCACGAGATTAAACTATGTTATCAACTTCTCACCCGATTCTGCTACCAGGCAGCTTGTACCTAAACTGTGTTTTGGTTTGAAAAGATATGGCAGAGATACAGTGGCGGCGCTAGTCCACGCGTGGACGTTGGCGAAATTAGGGTTCGCGAGGCCTTCATTTTTCCTAGTCAAGAAAAGTTAAATTACATAAGCGGAATTATAGTTAAACTAATGTATGAGTAAACGAGATTTATTGCTAATCAAATGATGACAAAAATAGAAATTAAAATAGAAGGATTATGTCAAAGCTAATACTAGCCGCTATTTCAGCTTCAATTGATAAAACTGATAACACAGATAGTCTCTCTTGAATCATCGTGCTTCTCAGTAGGTTTTAATAAATTTTAGCTTTGAGAAACTTCTCTTAGCGGAAGCTGTGCAGAACAGCTTCTGGAGCAAGTTCTGAGAACTGTCAGCATGATTCTAATTGTTATATAAACATTTGGATATATTTAAATACCGTAAAGTACTACACACTCTCTTTATTCGCGTAATTGTGTGAAAATAAATAAAAATTAATAACTAAATCATAAATAATTAAACACCTTGCGAGGCCCCCTCAAGCGTGAGATCGTCGACGGTTGTCAACGTCGCCGACGCCTAAGGCCGACACTGCAGAGAAATTCCTAGGTATTGAGGCATAATACCTTAGACCGCAGAAATGGAATTAGTGGTACCAAGAACAACCCATTACTGATACTAAGTAGCCTGTTTTGTAAGCTGCGCTTTGATTTGAAAAGATGTGGCATAGAAATTAAAAGGCACCGAGGACGTCTTTTTATTTCCGGGATGTTATTATATGCTGTTCCGAAGTTAGGTTAGGATATGAATAATAATCTGACTTCAATTTTAAATGATTATATTTTAAAAATTAACAAATAAATTTTATGCGCACGTCATATGTAGTGGACGTTGAAAAGGGTACAGGCGAGCCAACCTCAACCGGATTGGGCCGACAGCCTGGCGGTGGTCGTTAAGTTAGTAGATTTTGTAACATATTTTCGGTACTATCTTATATTGTACCCAAAGTCTATGTATATATATAAATAAAATTGGATTGTCCGTTTCTAATTGCAAGCTTTTCATTAAATGCATATTAACGTATATACGGCACTTATATAATAATATTTAATTTTTTTGTCTGCCTGTCAGTTTGTTCTAGTTAATCTCTGAAACGGCTGTACTAATTTCGACGAGACATTTACTCGCATATAGGTAATGAAATAAAGAGTAACTTGGATGTATTATAATAATGATTAAATTCCACGGGTAGGAAGTACCGAAACAGCTAGTTTTCAATAAAAATCATTATTATTATTTACTTTTTGGCACCGTAAAGTTTATGAGCGCCATTCCTTTTATGACATTCTTGGCAAGAAAAAATATTGTGACACACTGCACTCCTACGTAACCGCATGACTACTAACTGCAAGTGTTGTCATATTTAGTTTATATTTTACCTACTCTATTATATTTTGTTTACTTAGATTTGTAACACCGTATTTAAATGAACTCGTTACCTCGCCCTGTTAGGCGTGGCAATTGCAAATAAGTGGATACATTATTATTGTATATACTGCTTAAATCCTATAACGCGAAAGTTTGTGAGTATGGATGCATGTATATTGCTCTTTCACGCAAAATCGCCCAATTTACATAATATCTTTTTAAATTATAGCCTGTGTTTTTCTGATGTATAAGCTCACTGTAAAGTTTCATTAAAATTCGTTCAGTAGATTTTGCTTGAAAGAGCAATATTCATGCATCCATACTCACAAACTTTCGCGTTTATAATATTAGTAAGATATGCAGTTTTTGTAGAGAACCTATTATACACTATGTTTTCCATAATCCATAATGAACATAACTATTTATTTTTCGAGTTAAGCTTTTCTTGCTATTGTTTGACAGTTTAAAACACCCATAATATCGATAATTTGAGTGTTGACAGGAAACATTGCAAATACTCCATCAATTCAAAAACAAAACATGACTCAATCAATTTACAATAAATCAATTTACATTTACTATGTTGCAAATTAGTAAAATTTTATATGGTGACGGAATATTTTATAGTACATTATGCGCATGGTTCATCTTCAGTAGTGTGCCCATTATGTCCGCAATTATTGGGACATGTCCTGTACATGACATTCTACTAGGGTTTTTAGTGTGCCGGCTTTTTGTTGTTAGAGAAGTGGTAGTGGTGTCATAAATTTGGATCTCGAATTTAATATTTAATTTTGTCCTAAAAATATTCAATTTTTATGATACCGTCTTTATTTGATTACTTTTTAAATTTGGAAATGTTGTCCCTTGTCATAAAGTCTACAGCTTCACCGGACGATGGGGGGCGAGTGCAGATGGCACTCCAAACCCGCGGCAGGACTTATGGAGCGGCTGAAGGCTAACTCCCGCCTGACGGATACGACTTTATTCTGAAGGCACCGTTTGGGGTTCGAACCTCGGCTCCCGTCGTCGTAATTTCCATCCCTGTTTGAATTGGATGGGGGATGGATCGGCGTGGTGTCAATGTGTTATTGTATGCTATTTAAATTTTTTTTTAATGGATTTTTTTAGTATAATGGTGTTCGCATGCTCTAACAGTATCTACTGACGGGACACCAGAGGGGGATGATAAGATGAGAATGACCTCATTCCCGCATGATCAAATGGTATACGTTGGGGGGGCACCAGTGGAGATTGATAAGATGAGAGTTAGGTCGGGTTTGTTAGCATCTTGAAATCACTTGGTTTCCAGGGGTAACCGCGTGGAGATCGACTTGACATGGTACATTGCTAGCAACGGGGTCCGGTCCTAGTCCCCTTTACTAACAAATCTCTTCCCTCCTCAGTATATCACTGCTAGCATCGACTGGTGTACATTTATATGGATAGAAAATAATTATATTTCTAACGATGTCAGCAGGGAGAAGGAGACTTTCAGAATCGAATCTGTTGACTTGTTGCTAGCAAAGTATACTATCAGGTCGACCTCCACGCGGTCCCTTACTTGGAAACAATTATAGTTAATTCCTAGTGAGTTAATGTTGTATGTAATATTATCTTCATCCTGCCCAGTATTGCCATGCCAGCGTATACCATTAGCGCAGAACCATTCCATCATCATCTATTAAAAATAAACAGAAAATCAGAACATCGTAGAGGAATATCATATATTATGGACTTCGAGCGAAGAAATATTCCTTCAGTCGCGATTAAATAACACGTCATCGTAATCGTGTTCTAATCTATTGCCCGCGCAATACTTACCTAGCACAATGAAACCGAGAGTATCCGCGAACGGCAGCGCGAAATCGTGCTTTATATTGCAGTTACTTCCATTCAGGTGGGTCGGCCATGACAATGCCGGCGCGCGACTAGACGGGGGAAGGAGAGGCGCGGCGCAAAAGTGGGTCGTTCGCGGCGTCGCGTAGTCAAGTTCAAGGCCACGCACGCGGTGGGGCCTCCGATCGTCCATAGATGGCGTTGTGCGATTCGAAGTTTGAAATTTCGCGAGCTCGGGGGAGGGCGAGGGGCGCGGGAGCGTCGTGCGGGAACGAATTTTCGGTGCAACAAACGCGACGCGACACTGCACTCGTGTACCGAACGTCGCGACGCGCAGTAGTTTCGGCGCGACTCTAGACCCAGACGAAT